TAACGACAAGTCTATCATTATATCACATCTTACGGAATCTGGCGTATTTCTTTCACGCTCGTGTCGATATTTACATCCGTGGCGTGTACTGTTCCCACAGTAAGAGACCAGGCATTATCACAAGGTCGGCGGTGTTAAGCCATCACATTCAGTCTGGCACAGTGGTGGCCGATAGATGATTTAGCATAAGTTTGTATTAAAACTTTTGGGGATTTATTGAACATATACAATATTTATCGATTTACCAAATGTATCTGCATTAAGGCGAGAAAAGCGGCTGTGCAGAAGGCCCATGATTCGAGATGCATGTAAAATTTTCAAAAATATTTGATTATGTATACTAGTAACTTTTGTTTTAGTCTAACATTAAAGTGCCATGATTCTTCATATTCCTCCTCTGAAGTTATCAAACAAACTTTTCATAGTTGAACCAGTATATTTTTCATCAACGGATATTGCACGTGTAGACCCGTGGTCTATGGGCATACCTATCGCCCCATCCCTATCGTATATCGTGTTCCCTTCACGCGCGGGGCGTTACACGAGATGATCCGACGTCTACGCCGTTAGAGATACCATCAGAAGATGACCAAGAACCATCTCTTTTACCCCGGCCTCAATTAATATCAAAAGCGGCAGCAATCTTGTTGTGTTTACAAGGTATGCAACATGTGTCCAGGAGAGTTTTTCTTTTAAGACCAATTCCTTTCATATCAAACGTTTATAGGCCCTTCGTTATGAATAAGAGGAAGATTATTGGGCTGTAGGGCAGCTGCCTAATTTGATGGCTTCTTTATATAAAACACTAGAGTATAAATACTTCTCAATGGTTCCACTCAGGACAAGTGACTGTGTTCTATGATAGACTACAATCCGACTCAGATTCTAGATAGAGGAATAATTCTTTTCAGGGAACCGTTTCTCCAACTCGACCCTCTCTTGAAATAAAATACCCTTTAGCTTCTCTCGATTAATTGAGTGTTTTTTCAAGTAAGCGGTATGTGTTGAAGTGATTTATAGAATTGTATTACGTCTGCTTCCTCAGCTAAACAAAAGTGATATCATACACTTAAATTCTATATCCCTGTCGTTTAGGAACAGCATTTCTCTTTGTATCATGCAGACACCTTTGATCGTTATTCGAATGAATGAAATCCTTCCCTTTGTAGTAAAACATAGTGGTTTATGTCTTACATGCGCTAGACTTCTCAGACCGTGCATATCCTTCGATAAACATATTTTGAGATTGGAATATTGCCTGTTTATTTTTTTTTTTGGTTCCAGATAGGAGATCAATGGAAATAATTTCTTTATAGTAAGTCTTAGTAGTAGCTTGAATGTGGTATTTGTATCAAACATATGTAACCTATATCAATGTCTTCTGATTCCAGTTACTGAGGTTTACATCTCAACATTTGTTTGACCTTTCACCTATAGATAGGTAGAAACTGGAATGTAAACGTTGCAAATTTTATCCTAATGACACATCTTTAATAAGTTTGATTTATAGTTCCTGATTTTGTCAAAGCAAAATTTTCAAAATTCAATTAAACTTAACCTAAAATGTGGCAAATTTTAAACAAACATAATTGAACTCTTTCCTAAAACACAACAGGAAGCTGATCCCTAACCGATGTTAATCTTGAAATCTGCACCAATGCCAATTATAAACGTAACCTTTTTTCAACATTTCACCTTCCCCCCAGGAAATGAGGGTGCGAATACCACGTGGCCTTACGTAATAACGACAGTCCCCTGCTAATTGATCTGGTAGAAACTGATAATCTAAGTTTATTTTCGTGTGTACATCCAGTAAATCTCTGACCCTTTTAAAGACAGGTCGAACGATATAGATCTAGATTGAAAGGTTGTGTTAGAGAAGACATTGGTAGGGCGATTAAGAAGAAAATCTCTCTGACTTCCGCTGCACTTCTTGCCTTTGATGGTAGGTATAAAGTAACTAGTTAGATAGACAGACATGAACCTGTTTACTCACTCTATGTTAACATTGTCTGTCTGCTTTGGTGTAAACCTACCCACCACTTAACTTCCCAGGCAAACCAGACGTCTCTCTTTTCCATGTGAGTTACAGGATGCACAATAGTGTTTTTCAATAAAGTGGCAATATTGAGTGTTACTCTCCTGTAATAATTAAGAAAAAGAGTACAAACGTTTGAATTACATGATTATATCGCATGTCATATTATCAATTGATTCGATACTTATCTTCATTTTTAATTTTAATTAGTTTAAAAAATCACGATAAACAATATACCGCTTTACCCAATCAGAATACTGTTCTGTTAAAAGGCATACACAAGGAATCTTTTTTACATATATCATCCAGAAATAGTGCACTATATACCTCTGGTACCATAACAAAGCCTACCCAGTGTTACCAACTGTTGTATATATCCTATCACAATGGCGGTGGTCTTACTATCTGATTGAGGCATGTTCCCATAAAAATTGGATAGATTCTGAGAACTTTCTTTACTTTAGATAACACGACTGACAAATACACATAAGATGATCAACCTGATGAATTGGGCCAAGAATCCAAAGTCCGTAGGTTATCTAAGAAAAATATTTACTTTTTATATAAGATTACAATTTAAATATTGTAGGTGCATTTACAATGAACAAATGGCACGTAAAATAATCGTGAATTTTTTTGTTCTTTTTCCGTTTTCAATTGATTGATATTGGAACCAGTTTTATATTTGACATGACTTTAACATTGATTAGACCACGCTTATGGGGACGAATTATTGGTAACTGACAAATATAGTCTAAATATATAATAAGATGAGGTGCCATATAACATAATTCGTATTGAGTTTCGTTTTTGTCCATATGGTACGTTTTATTATACATTATTCCCCGTCGTACGCGGTCACCATATAACCAAAGAGAAAATCATTGGTACTAAATGCATATATTCGATATTTTTCAGACATAAAACGATAAAAAAAACCTTTGTCTCTAAAGATAGAACTCACTAATCCGACTTCGATCCGCGATGTAAGAAGGCAGTCTGCTAAAGTATGCCAGAAACCTATTATCAATCTCCGGTCGGATCTTCTGGCTCTTTGTATATACGTGTATATACTGATTCTATATACAAGTATATACAAAAACCTTACTTTCAATATTTTCATAATTTTGGTATGTACACACCCATATTAATAATAAGATCAGACAGTAAAAACATCGCACAACATGCATTTCTTTGTTGATAAGATAGGTAAATCACGATTATCTTGAAAACCAATCACGATTATGATTAGTGACGTTTTATTAGAGTCAGTCGTGTTAACGGTGTTTGATTTTTAAAATTTTGTGTTGTTTCCGATATAAAGGTGGCTTTTTGGAGATCATTTTTGCTATACTGCTATGATGGATGTTGAGTATCAGAGTTTTCAGAGTTGGTGACGTGTTCCAAATATTGTGCCGTCAAAAAGTCTACGATTCGGACATGATAATAATGACATGAAATTCGGAACAATGAAGGCGTCGATCAAATTGTGTCCCTTAAATCTGACCGCAGCCTTGCGTCTCAATTATTGGTTTCTGCAAATTGGCTATTGTGTTGCCGAAGTTTCTGTTGAATGGCTGTCAATTTCCGGCGATTTACGCTCGTCCCTTCTTTGTCGAGATAAGCGACACCAAACGGTATTTATTTGGTGCACACGTTATCACTTATTATCATGGACAGTCATCTTGGCAGTTTGGTCATATCCATTTGTAGCTGACCATTAGCAATTGCAGTTGATGTAGGCATGTCTTTTTCATCTGGATAAAATCAATGTGTGATTTCAGAAGATTTACTGTAAATGTCATCGTCTCTGATTGTAGCTTGTATCTTTTAAACTTAATTAAACGAACTCACGCTTCATTTGGCGGTAATCAATGTATAATTGACGTTTTTATAACTAGGCAACTTTTTAATACTGCGTTTTATTTGAGGATAAACACGCACTTTACCGCTGAATTGCTCTCGTGATTGGGGCTGAAAATGAAATGACAATCAAGCAGGATGTATTACTTGTAATGTATTACTTTATTTTCATACTTCACTCTCCTTTATTCAGTATACTAAATGTAGTTAATTATGATAGTTTTCCTAGATCATATATTCAACTTTCAAGAGCTCTGAGAGAGCAGCAATTACATGTTTTTTTTATTCGGGATATCGTTATGTCCATATCTCAAATTGATGCTTTGAATAATCATGCGCATGTAAAGTTTGACTATGCGTTGATGTTGATGTTGATGTAATTGTTCATGTTTTCATAATTATATAGCATTTCAAAAACACAATTTCGTTTGTAGTATTGATATTCTATTTTCTCAAGCAATCCCTTGAACCAATGGTGTGCTGATGATATGTCGGTCATAATTAGTGTCGTTTGCACACATGCTAGTTATCTTACTCTCTGTTGCTGTAGACTAATCAGCTGGATACAATTGATGTGCCAGCCAAAAAATAACGCTATTGATGCCGGTCAATGTGCTCCGCTGGCAATCACAGGTCACACAGTGCAAGCGGCAGTCGTCCAACGCACATCAAACCGGAAGTACCACCAAAATACACAATGGCAACCCTCATTATCTTTGTTTTGTCTTCCTATGCCCAGTAATGACATCCACAGATATGCCTTCAAATACCACTCGGCTGTCGACCTGTAGTAACCAAGGCAATCGTAAGGTCAATGTAACTCTTAGTGCACGTCTAACAATGATGGATGGGTGATTGTTGAAGCTGCTTTGTTCTCTAACCACATCGTTTTTTTTATCATTTCTGTATATTATTCGTTAAATAAAGAATGTTGTTTTGTGCATGAATCCTCAAAGTTTATATTAGTCTTGTGTGGTAATATATGTTTTCTACAAGTTGAGCACGTTGTTATGTAAAGAAAAATTGTTCCACTATTTTACATCGTGGCATCTGCAGTATTATTTACAGAAAATTTATGTAATGTTCTTTTGTGTTTCAGGTGTAAGTTTAGACCTCAAATCAAGACATGTACTGGATCTTTTACAATTCCTCAATACGACCGCCAACAGCGGACGGTTCACGGTCGTGGCAGGCCAGAGTGACAACACTTCAGCTGTTCTACTGGAAGGTAACTCGACATCCATTTACTTTCAGTTTTACATTATTTTCTACTTCCTAAATATGAATTGCGATATACTCAGTATACATTCCAATGTGGAAACTTGCAAATGCATTTCGGCTTAAATTCTCGCTGGTCATTCCAATAAACACGCATACCGAGAACTCAATTTGTGAATTAGACACGCCAGAACAAATCATATTTGGGACCAAATGAATGATTTGTAGATAGGTACGTACTTAGTGGATACATCACTTATCAACAAAGTCTAGGTGTAACACTGTAACTCCTGGAGTCAGATCTACGTGTTTAGCATTATTGTTTTTTTCTGTTAATTGTTTAAATACCTGAGAATGACTAAATGTTTTTACACGCCATTTATGTCGAAGTTGACCTCCCGTTAAACAAACAAGATAAGAGAATTGCATTATATGCAATTATTTTAACTATATCGTAAAAGTCAAGGACGTTTTTGTCCATTTTCCTGATGGAATTCTTTATCAAAAGTTATCTTGCTTAACTTCCTGTGAGATAAGTGAATTCAGCCGTGTATGAATTATACAGTTTTAAATGTACCACTACGGACCAAAGTTCCCAGACAGACCTTCTCTAATCTAGAGTTATCTGCCCCTGTGTTCCTCCCTGGTGGTTTTATTGTTAGGGGTTTTGTCCTATTAACCTGTGTTTTAAAAGATTAATATATTTATGTAACCAATATTGCCCCAAAGAAAGAACGTGAGACGATGATGGTAATGGTTCCTATAGCGGTAGGCCTGTTCACCTTCTTGCTGTTGCAGACGAGATTATGGCGCGCACTGCTGTGCCATAAAGTGTTTCTCATCATGCTCTACCTATGTCTGCGAGCGCCGAACGAATCCTTCTACCGAACACACCCCTGCCAATAACCAACCTTATCTGCCCTTCCCCTGACCCTAAAATGCCCCCCATTTTTTCTGCGTTTCCCGTGGACTTTCCTTTATCTGGAAACTGTGTTCCATTCATCATTCACCACCAAAGGAAAAAAATAATCGATTAAAGACTCGTCAGAAAATACCACTCGTCGGAGTAAACTTTACATTTAATTGAAATTTCAATGTAACGTACATTGGAATTGCAATCCAATGAATTAGGCCACATTTTGATGAAATCACATTGTCCTAACACTCCTCCAATATGCCAACCCTCCATTTCAAAATTCCATAATTCGGCCGTCCTTTGTGTTTCAAACAGAAAACGAAATAAAAATGTAGCCATTCAGTTTGATATTCAAAGGTGCAAGTGTTATGTAAATGTAAAGAGGCGCTTGTGTTTGACTTTAAAGGCATCAACGGCAAACGTTTTAAACATACATATATTCATTATCATTATTAGATAGAATGTGTCAAAAATTCCTAATTATTTAATCAGCAGATTTTACGTTATAGCAATACATTTCAGTCCTTTAATACTTGTATGTTTAGTTTCCAATATCCAAGTTATTTATTAATTGGAAGTACACCGTGTATCTAAACATATCTAAAGCAAACTTTACATTTTCAAGCCTGTCATTTCGATTTTTAAAACAAATTACAGATTTTTAACCAATATGAATATATAAGCGAGAGTTTCTCTTAACACTGTTTTTAGGTGAATTCACATTCATCAAATTATTATTATGGAAATACATATATAAGATTGAATATTTCAACAAGCCTTATGAAGTAAAAAAATAAATAAATTGCACCACACTGTAGTGCTTGAAGCGTTTAGATCGATTTAACGATAAAGGGTTTTTTTATACAAACACGTTCAAGATCAAATATGAAAACCGTATGTGTAGACCGTAATGAACGCCATGCACATGCTTTCTTAATTAAGTTAAGGTTTGTTTATTGTTGAAATGATAAGGATACGGACAGTATTTGAACGAATTTCGTGTCAGTCTCCCACCTTAATCATCATTAAATACTACGGTGTCTAAGGATTCCCTGGGCATGGCTGTATCGATCGGAAAACTACTCATTGTACATGTCACAGGAGCGACATCATTCCCTACTCAAAACAATATGTACAAATACAAGGAAGGTAAATTTATATGTGTGTGTGTGTGTGTGTGTGTGTGTGTGTGTGTGTGTGTGTGTGTGTGTGTATTTATCATTTGCTTAATACAGAAAGTTTCAATTACTATTATTATCAACTGTAGATTAATTGTATGATAATATTGGTTAGACGATGACTTAAATGGCTGTGTTTAAAGATATTTGCTCTGGTAGTGATAAATATCACTAGCAGTCACATTTCTTTGTACATGAAAAAGAGCTATTATAAGTGATGCTACCGATCTTCTTTCGTTAAGAGGATATTTATCTAGAAACGGGTAATATAATAAAAGTTCTGATGACTTAAATTGTCTTGTGAACTTTAGCGGGGATTTCGAAATAAATAAGGCCTATTTATAAAATAAAAAAAATGAAGTGTGCCAGTAATTTATGGGATTTTTATGTCATTTTAATCTCACTTTAGGATATAGTTGCTTTATCATAGGAAGTGTTCGTTATGTCAATAAAAAGATGGATTTCAGGCTGTTGCCAGATCATACTGAGAATATACGTAATATTGGCACAAAATGGATTTCAAACAACGATGAAAATTTCTTCTAAATCTTCTCACATAGCAAATCTACTTACACACTCAGTACATAATATTTTGTACTTTACTATGACAGCCAATAGGCCGTTTGTGAGAGCAACGCCTGACCATCCACGTCAGCACTTATTGACTAAAAGTCGTTATCAAACTCATAATCCATCGTACAATATACTCTAATACAGAAGCTACATATTAGGTCATGTTTACAATGTTTTACACCGCTTAGAAATACAACAAAAGGGTACGGAAAAACAATTTTTATTTGAAATGAAAAGAAGCCTAGGTTGTTTTGTAAATCTGCAAGGAACTGCATCACACGAAAGTTTTCCCAAATAGAGCTATTTTCGTGCTTACAACAGACAATACTGTTTTCCGGAAATAGATATGTACTTTGAGAATTAGAATTTCACATAATTTCCCCAATTTAGTCTCACCCTTTAAACCCTTTTACGGAATTTCAATTTTCAAAAATCCTAGGTAAAATAAGTCTGGATTGAGATGAACTCATTTGACGGTGTTTCAAAATCCAGATGCCTGAAATGTAGATTCATAAATGCACGCTATTACACATTTTTATATTATCACATTTTGTTCGTTTTCGCAGTGGACAAAATATCAATACACGTTTTCGACGTTGTATTTAAAATCAGCAAAATCATCCGTGGATGCCACGGTTAATGTTAGGAATATATGTGCCTTGATGTTCGATAACACAACAAACTGTCATCAATATGGGAGACCGACATTAACAAGAATTCAGCTCTTCATTTCTATTCAGATTCACCAGGTACGACGATAATAGATGGCCTCAATGAAAATACATGCCCGTCTACCTGAGGATGCTACCGTCAAATTGTTCATCATTATTGAAAGATAGTAACTTTCTAAAAGCAATCTCCATAAATGGTTTCAAATAATATAATACGGCACTCTCCTGTTATTTTTTTAATTAGTGATGCCATTCCGGCTCTATCAGATTGCTTCTGTATATCTTTCGTTCTGCAAGAAATGCTGAAATCAGGACATGAAGCAAGATGCTTATAATTCGTTAAAAACTCTTGTCAATCTTTGCTAGTCTTCCATTATCTTATAAACAGACTTTATAAATGGAATAACGAACCAATATGTTCCCTGGAATGGCTCCTATATCAATCAGTTACGCATGACTTGCAGGATTCCCAATCAGAATGTTTCACCTCCGCTTTATCAATTTCCGGTATAGATGACATTTCTGTCACCTTCTAAAGCGTTAAAATTCGAATATAGAAAAATTATCTTCAATCATATTTCCGAAGTCGCCTTTTTATCGAACCTTCCAATCTAATACACGCTTTTTACTTATTTTTGTAATATAACTGGGACGATCTCGGTACACCCTTTCCGGACCGGTATCATTATCAATAGAAGATTGATTGGAGGCCCCCACTATCATGCGCTGTACACCGACTATATACTGATAAACTAATTACACACAGTAGGAAGCGGTTTATATTTCATTGAACTTATCCTATACATACGATTAACTGAATGTTTAAAAACTTGCAAAACGCCGCAAAAATCACTGATGAAGTGGAGAGGGAATAACGAAACACTTGTGCAATGTTTACAAAGAAAGAAATTACATGAACGTCTATATATATAGTATCGATCTGGAAATATGCTTATATCTCAATAAATCTTCGTTCTAATAAATGTCTCTTACACTACATCATTGAGTTAGCATAGAACCTACTTCTACATTCAGCAGTATAGGTTTTTTATCACTAAATTATTGACTGACAGAGTCTATACTTAGAGAATGTATGGTATGGTTAGGAAGCGTTGTCAATAATAAATATATGACATGTACAAATTGTTAATCTTGATTTTGTTTCATGAATTGGTGTATGTTAGCCAATAGAAAATGGGGCCCTGAACAATCCCCTTTCCTATCATAATGCTAGATCTTGCTACCTTGGTATTTTATGATGCCTGATGCTTCTGAAACAAGGTCTAAGTAAACCCGTCATTGATTATTCTCCTTAAAGACTTCTTTCTGTTCCTTATGCATGGCAGATATATTGGTAGTGTCTGGACCAGCACGTCGTCGTAATAAATACCAATGAAAAGGAAATGGTCGCTATAGCCGTAGTAGGCTGAAACATTTCAGCTGTTCTTAACTCGGGGTAAATTGCTAAAATATTAATGTATGACATATGGATACGATTAGAATCCCCATTTACATAAAAGTCAAATGATCTTCACGAGGGTTTTAACGATTCAGAATAATGCTTCTTAAAACAGAGAATTGTGTATGAAGTAGAGAATTCCAGCAAACATTGGTCACGTTAAAATCCGCCCATTCCCCACAGAAAATGATCCTAAAAATATAACAACTCTCTTATGCTTTTGAAAATATCATAATTGATATATGATATTCTACCATTAACATTCATTAACACCATAAATAACATAATATATTCTAACATTAGCTTTCACTAAGATCATGAATTAAATGTGATATTCTACCATTACCTTTCATTAACACCATAAATAACATATTATATTCTAACATTAGCTTTCACTAAGATCATGAATTAAATGTGATATTCTACCATTACCATTCATTAACACCATAAATAACATCATATATTCTAACATTAGCTTTCACTAAGATCATGAATTAAATGTGATATTCTACCATTACCATTCATTAACACCATAAATAATATATTATATTCTAACATTACCTTTCACTAAGATCATGAATTAAATGTGATATTCTACCATTACCATTCATTAACACCATAAATAACATATTATATTCTAACATTTCACTAATCCTATAAATTAAACATAATACTTTACCATTATTACAAATCCCTAATACCATAAATGGTATATAATTTTTAATACCCATTAATATTGAAAAAGATACATAATATTGTACAGTCATTGCGACCCCTTAATGCCATAAATGATTCATAATGTATTTACCATTACAGTGGAGTAATTCGATAAATGATCTGTAACATTACATTTTACAAATACCGTTTATGTTTCTTAAAATTGTATCATTATTACATTCCACGAATACCAAAAATGATGTGTATCACTGTATCATTTTTACAACCCAAAAATAGCATTGTATATACTGTGAACACTGTTTTGCTGTTGGTGATCCGAGTATTGAATATACTGGTATAATTAAATCTTCAGTAATCTAGGAATTCAAAAGTGACGAGAACGTAATTTCGTCAGTACACAACAATGTTGTAAGATGCTATCTTTATTTTTCGGTATGCGTAGCATAACATGGAAGCAAATGATTTTAATAAATAATTCATGAAAGCTGCATACACATTTGCATACTTTTAGAACTACAAATAAGGGCCTCGTTATCAAAGCATGTGCTGACAATGAATGTTGATATCAATCAGCAAACGACTTTGTAGGCAGTAAATTTCAATTATTAGAATACTAGTTTGTGGATGTCGATCACGTTACAATGTGCATGACCGAAAGCTTCCCTGCACGCAGGCAAGCTGTAGACAACCGCTATTGAATTTTAATTACAAAGAATGTACATTACTACATTTTCAGTCAAGTGTTTATAGTACATAATAGGGTATGCCTTTGTCAAATCTAAAGTGTTCCTTTTTCGCAGCTTATATATCCATATATTAAATAGTGTTCTCTGTTGTCCTATTGCAGAAGGGATATTCTATACATATTTTAACTGTTTTTTTTATAACAACAAACTATGTATTCCCGGTAGACTGGGTAGTAAGCCATGCTAACTAGTTTTATGTACATCCAGGGAGTATGACTACATGCTATTGTCATGAATCAGTTCATGTGGGATACAGACAAGAATGTGTCTCTTGATATACTAAGATATGTCAATTATCGATCGACACCATTTTTCGTGTGCCTCGTTCTGAATTAACCTCAGTCTGTAGTCTTAGCGCACTTGGTGTTAATGAACAAAACTATTATACAACCATGGATGGTAGTGTCTTATAATTTATTTGTGGAATGACATTATATATACGTGTGAGTGTATATATACGCACCTGTGTTTTAACATTGCCATCACCTACATCTCCACTTGTCGGCTGTTAGAGGATAATTACCTGTGATAAACTCTTATCAGATTGGTGTGGAAGACCTGGCCCCGTAAACAGACCTTTGTATTTCGACAAGCATGACAATCTTATCAAAGAAAAGGAATAACCAACATCCACAGTTTTAAAGTATCCCATTCCGGTGTGCATTCGTTAGATGCCTGGACGCCATTTTATTTTAGAAACAAATAGCACTGTTCATATCTTCTCATTTATCAAAATCGGAATTTACTAAAACTGCACAATCAACTTCATCACACAACTACATTCAATAAAATGTACATACCAAAAGGAATCATTTTATTTTTGATGAAAATCTTTTACTTTAAAAAATATAGTTAGTTGGGCTAGTTCACAATGTTGGTCATGTCGCTTTTGCCAATTAACGGGAGGTGGTCCATATCTCACGAGATTACACGAGTGCAGACTGGAGAAATATGATGCTATCCAAACTGTACTTTAAATACATATCAATTTATGAATGTCTAGAAGAAGACCTATTTCGGGATCTCCGTGTTTTATACTCCCCCAGCAACATGTAGGCATACCTGCAGACCTATATTTACTCTCATGTAACATGTAAGCGAGATCTTGACACCAGATAAGGTATGCACCATCTTTCGTATATGTTAATTTAGACCTGTTCATCAACACTTTATACTTTCAATTCGGGGTGCCATAATTGATTAAGTTAGTTATATGTTTAATCAGTATCTTGTCTTCATTTTGGTTAAAATCCTGACTTTGTTAAGTAGTCTTGGGGTGGGATCATGTGCTATAAATAGCTCTCAAGAGTGTTACATTCTGTAACAGCAACGCCACCGCTGCGTTAGCAACTGATAAGCGAAAAACAGAATTTCATTCATGACTGAAGTTATGGTATAATTTGGCCCAGTCATCGACAACCCAAAATAAGCACACGCAAGCAGTTATCAGAGTTTAATTGAATTTTATTCGAAAAGATTCAATTAATATCATATTGTTTGCTGCATGTGTCTAGTGAAATTGTATGTACAATATCCTGTTGCGTTACAGGTAAAATGTACAGTTTAGCTATGTTATTTAGTTATGTAACAACAACCATTACTTCTTTGTTTATTTCTAAAAAAAACTGTCTGTGATGCCGATTTGAGCGAGTTTGCATGTCTTTTGACTCATTTAGCTACTATCCTGGGAATTCGTAGAGTACCACCCCCATTCAAAAAAAGACTAGATAAACCTGAGCAGACATGGCGAACAAGTGTTTTGCGCTGAAAAGCGCAGCCCGAAGGCAATCATACGCCACGTTTAATGTCGGGCCGTATCACCTCGGGACGAGCGATACTACAAACAACATTTCCGGGTTATAATGAAATTTTCCTCTCTTTTCTGATAATATACTAAAAGAAAAAACTTTCCTTGTGTAATGGATTATCCAAAGTCTCCCCCTAAACGCTTGATGCTGTGTACAATACTCAGACGGTGTTGGGCATTAAACCAGGTCAAAGTGATGACTAACAGCCGATATTTAAAGATTCTGATGGAAATACAGAAAATTTTAAATTAAGTCAATCAACAGCGAGTAATTATTATTGGTATCTGATGCCTATACGTCCGAATTACTTATTGTACGATCAGGGTCAACGATTTATAATATTTAACCATTACTAATCACACCTTTCCTGAATCGTGAAAAAAATCGTGAGATTGATTTTCTATATGTGGGAAATAAACTTTAAAAAATTTGTTATTTGGAGATATATTCCATTTTCCCCGTATTCGAAGCAAACTATAATGTGTTTAAAGTACATTCCAAACTTCGATTAAAGTCTACATAGCGAGTTTGTAATAGCGATAGTTTATATATTTATATATTACACGTTGAGGAGAGGGGGCAATTGTTAGGAGGAAAGGTTTATCCGGAAATCTCTTGTTTACAACGGGCACTAATATCATGATTTCTTACTGACAACACTTAATAACAAGCAATAGGATGTCATTGACGTGAATTTGATGAAATGAAACGATTACCGTTTAAACAACTGGACAAGATTTCTACATTGATAGGATTACTTTATACTGATGTATGATATTTCCTGTTTTTCAGATCCAAGTCGGAACTTAGCTTTACCAAATACTGTGTTGAGAGAGGCTTTTCATATTTTACGTGAGAATAGTGAAGTAACTTTTTTAGCAACTGTGAAACAGGAGGTTGGAGATGCGGGGAGTATCATAGCATTTTCTTCAGACATTGTAAGGTAAGCTCAGTCTTTTGTTGTCAATGCATGCGACATTTTCAGATTCTTGGAAAACTGGTATTCATTGATATCATGGCTCTTTACTATCGAGTAGATAGTACAAAAACACAGATTAAACAAAAGACACACAAGTGAATATATATATTAAACTGCACCATACAGCTGTTTCGTCCTAGGATTCGTCAGTGATGCTAAGGGTCTACATTTTAAAATCTGCGATGCGACGAAGGACACGTTTTCGTTTAATTGAAGAAATTTTGTAATTTTCATATATCAGATAATATAAATAATTTTACACGTGTGTATATTCTGAGCCGTGCCACTATTCGAATTAAAATGTGGCATGCAAATTACAGCAAACCTTGGGGGCTTTAATGTCCACCAGCAATGTCTGCCACCTGCTATCTCTAAGTATATACAAACGACAAGCTAATAACACGTCTCGGTACAGATAGCTAGATACATAGTAAAATAATGAAACGCACTGCATCATACAGCTGTTTCTTCCTTTTTTGCACTCGCCAATAATGCTAAGGGCCTTAATTATGATAATGATGATGTGATTGAGTAAAATCTTAAGTGATTGAAAGAAATTTAAAATCTAGATTGAATGGTGCACTAGATCCATAATTAAATAAATTTTGTAAGTTTCATATATCTGACTAACGACAAGTGCATGTTTATTCTGAACCATGCCACTATTCGAATGAATTAAAAACATGGCATGCAATTAGGTCTTACCGCGAGGACTAAACTTCCTACAAATGAATGGCACTCTTAATATAAATTTCGATTTACATAAAATAGATTCAAAATGTGAGCGCTGTGAAATGAATATTTCTATCATATTAAAATGGCATAACATCTTGTCAAGTCTTATCAATGAATGCAATAAATAATTACCAGTGTAGGTAAAGGATAACACTACGCATGCCATCTCACGGACTATCTCCTGACAATGTATGTAGGTGGTTTACATACGTGCATACCTTTCTAGTGTAACAAGGTAAGCTCTTTAGGGCCGGCCTTCATCCGGAAATAAGATGATGGACAATCACAAATACATCTGGGTTATATTCATTCTCGGGATTCAATGAGTTGACGTTGTGTTATTTGGTTCTGAATTAATACACTTCGAAACCAAAATACGGATATATATTGCATTTGAAATAATCTGAGCCATATCACTTATATTCCGCGTTTCTAAGCCTAACTGGAACCTCCTGTAGTATGGGAGGTCAAGGATTTAAGTCGCCAGATTAACACTTCGGCGATCGATGTTTGATTGGCTCATGCAGTTTTAACACTCGGAAAACGATCAAATATGTTTCCTAGAGTGCACACACCTTAGATTGACAAGGTCGGGAACAAAGTGCATTTCCTCCTTCTAAGGCCTCTCACATCCATGGCTATCTCTATGAATGTCAAGGCCAGACTGACTTTTATGATGGTAAAAATATGCCAACCAGTATTTCTCCACCTAATTGCTGGAAAGTCAAGGCCACAAATCGGTATATAGACCAAGGACACATATCCATACAAGAACAGATTATGGTCCAGAATCAAAAATAGCTCGACTTAACACAAGAGTTTTACCCGAGCCAAATACCACAACCACTGTTCATTGTGACCTGGCCTCAATGATGGTCAGTGGTTTGTATCTGTACTTTTTCGGCAGCTGAAATATCCATCGGCATCACGTTAGGCGGTAAGGTGTTAATATGACCTGTGTAAAACATTGATCTCTTGCTTTATTGGAACAAATTGTCCCACTCTCTTGACTGAAACAATTTTTTTTTATTCTCATACGAAATTGAATGTTTCAAAAGAGGTCGCAAAGACCTTGCGAAGTCCTTAAGATTTTAACTTTAGGATATATTGATGATTACTTGTCTTTGAATAACAAGAAATTTATTGACTACGTCCATCGCTTATATATAAAAAATATAAATGATAAGCCGTTTACCTTGACCTTATCCTACAACAAAATCGACAAAGATAGTTGTATGTTTAGCGTGATAATCTTAATTCCCCTGTTGTGAATTGAATTATTCATTTCTGGATAGCAACATCACTGTATCCCCAACCAACGACAGGGTTGCGACAAGACAGGCTGTAGGATATTTTACAATCGTCATAATTCAATAGGATCTATTCTCTTTTCCTGTGCGATATGACGTTGGACGTAGTTTGAGTATGATAATAGTGTAGACTAGTGCACTGTAGTGTGATGTTCTATAGCAAATAAGTGCGAGGTATTGCTAAAAGCTTGACATGTGTCCGACGTTAAATATCATCGTGTTACGACATTTCAAATAGGATTAAGGACAGGATTTCAAGTTTGAATACTGACACTTACTGTCACTACGGAAAAATATATTTTACAGTTGTACAAAAAGTCATATCGTCTATACAAGTTTCGAAAAACTGTATAAGGCTTGAAGATAGGAATTAATGAGGCGATAGCTGCTTATAAACCTCAGATCCAGCTATGTTTTACAGTTTCATGTTAAATTGGGAGATAAGAAGATATGTATAACATATATTATTGAGCTTTCCTCTAATAAAGTATAAGGAGTCGACGTCAAACGGTTTCTCAAGAGATCAGCTACTGTTCCTTATATAATATCGCTACATCGCTGAAAAAAGAATCAATCAAATCTCGGAATAAAAAGCCGAGGTAATTGGATAAGTGTGAACTACACAGGAAATACGGTGGAAACATTTCAAATATGAATGAAAAGTCATTAGCACGCGAAAGCCATCTAAGATATTTCTAGAGCCCATTTACAGCCCACTTAAGATTATTTAACTTTGCAGTGCCAAAATTTTATCCCAATTGAAATCAAACATATATAACTTAATACATAAAACGGTAATAAGACGCGTATCATACAGCTCTGCAAGGCTATTTCTGTCGGGACAAACTCCACTATATCTCTTTTACAAAATGACATGGCGAAGTCTATGATGCGTTGGGAAGGGTTAAAAGTAGAGGTCTTATCAGTTCTGTTTGATAGACACTATGTATATGTATACGAGATATGGGAGCAAACGGAAAATAAACAAGGCCCATGAAGTGGATTTTAAACAGTTTTGATGTTTGGAAATGTTAAAATGTCGTCAACTTAGGAGGTCGCTTCTAGGAGGGAAGTAACATATTTTCTTTCATTTTCGATACAAAATTGTAATGAATGTTTTATCGGCGTGTTGAAAATGAAATTAATCGGATATGATGTATGGTGAATACAAATACAAAATGCTAGATACGCAAGAATAAAATTCGTAGTCAAAGGCGATACGATATTAATGCTAAACAAAGAGAATCCCTTTATATCTCTCTCGTTAGCAGCTACATGTAGGCGTCCCAGTAACAGGGGCATTAGATGCCGGTCATCAAGGAAACATCTTCTGGAAAGATAGACGGTAGGAACGGAAAGATACGATGGACTTATCTCCCTTATATCATAATGTAGTAGTGGGAGACACAAAATAAAATTTCAAAAGTGTTCTTATCGGGATTTGTGTACTGAAAAGAATGAAGTTTCCCGATTACCTCCTACTATCCTGTATGTTGTACCTAATTGTGTTCATTGCCATTGTCATTATTCAAGGACCTGTGACGTTAAACTTTATATTGCTGACAACCTTTAACTAAGCAAGTAAGACGGCAATCTGCTCATACGTGAAACTCCCAATGAAAACCCGGCTAACTATTATGCCAAAAGTATTTTAAGGGGAATATTTGTTGATCTTTCACACGCTGTAATAGCGGCACTGCAACACCTAATATTTTAAGCAAGGAATGGGGAAATCAACATTATTTATATGTATATATAAGACGACGTTTTCTTCCTTACATCATTAATAAATGATGCAACGATTTTCAGAAAGCATTTATTACATAATCATGAATGGTCGTACTTGTTGACACACATGGATAATGAATAAAAATGTAAACATCAGATGACTAAGATCAATAAATGGAAACTACGATTACAAAATTTGAGTAGAACTCAATAATTATTTCTCTGTATAGGACTCCAATTATACCTGTTTACTGCATCGCGAACGCAAATTATTCTTTAAAAAAATATTAAGGTTTCTGTTACGTAATATTTCTCAAATATTCGGGAAATTAAAACGTAATGGCAAGCTGGCAGCCCAAAATAAAATAATTAATGTCCTGACATTCATTGATCGAGGAATGGGGGAAAAACAAACAAATGCAATCAAGAGTTCAAGTTGAGAACGTGAATCATTGAAAACGTTTAGTCATTTTTATCAATACAGCTGAAGCAAACCTGTTCGGTAATGATTTTCATCATGCGATAGCTTTAGTGATAGAACGAAATACTTCTAAATGATGTAGAAATAAAATAATCATATTTCCTCACTATCTAACGATAAACATGTATTCTAAGATAATTTTATGCATAAAACTTCCCGTTTTTTCTCCTTGAAATGAGGTTTGTATATCAGTGCCGTTCGTGCGTGCGTCGATTTTGTCCGTCCGCAGGGAAAAACCAAAAGTGTTGGCTCATTATACTCCATGTTAATTTTTTGTGGTCAACAAACACTCAAGAAATAGGAGGAAACATATCAAATGCGTGTATATTCCTTCCATGCGAGGTAAAGATATGGTATTTATTCTGTTTGAATTTTAGAAACATCTGTCAAATTAGGAGTAACAATGGTCACAGTTGACCTATTTTATAAATCCAAGGCTTCACTACAATATATCTTGTGGATTTGCCATGCGTATTCGATTAGGTATGATATCATTGAAAAGTTATGTTTTACATTTAATTAGATTCTGTGGTCATCGCTCAAGGTTAAAGGGTCGAATATCACACTTGACCACTTCAAGCAAGGAGTTAAAGATGGCATCGCATGACCTTTACCTGAGAGGATAAAGACATGTATATGTACACCCACTGACCTTATCATTTTTTAATCATGCAGCTATGGTATATTAAATTAAGAATTCGGGAACACCATCCTCTACAGCCAAGTTGCCATCTTCTTGTGTTTCTTTCATGTTTTTTAAAACTGTAATAAGTTTGTGCAAAAAGATTTCTGCTGTATATATTATTTCCGTTGGTAGGTTAATATTTGATACAATATAATTCGGAGGTTTTATCTTTATTCAAATAATGGATTTTTGCCATATCCTGAAAGGATATCTAGAATAAATAATGATATATTGAAGTAAAGAAACAGTATGAAGCAACTAGTCAAGGCGAAAATCAGATTCAGTATAATTTGCGAAGATCCTGAGATAATAGTAGTTGTCGACAAAGAGACGGACGTACTTCCACAGCGTTTTTCTTTTCCATTAGTCTGCCGATGAGGTCTTGTGAAATTAACACGTATCTTGAAGCGAACATTCTACAATGTATCAAAACTTGTCCATGAGTACCTGGTTCTATGTACAACTTAGTGATATAAAAAGATAAAAAAGCATTTTCGAGAACATTATAGACGTTGTCACCTCAGTTAGTTTAGTTTTTTGTATGCTGGAAATGATACAGTGATGTATTCGGAATGATTTTTTTTATTATTAGGTAAAACAGAATCATTGCTTCAGATATTAAGAACATTTTACCATTTAATTGTATTGAACCCGTTCATTTTGCGCGTTACAAGTAATTGTTATGAATCCTGAAATATATCGATTGTTATTGCTACTGAGTGTTGATAGATTAAAATATTTCTTTTTTGAAATATTTTATATTTTAAGTGATCATCTTGTTATTTTCAGATTTTTAGAGATAGAGAGCAGTGGACGGAGGGATGAAATCCGTTTCCATTACACTCATGACCAACAAACACTCGTTGAAACATTCCCATACCGACTTGCCGACAACCAGTGGCATAAACTTGCACTTTCTTTGTCGGGGACTCATGTCAAATTATTTGTGGACTGCAATAGAATATACGAAAGAGTGATAAAAACTGTGGACAGGAGATCTACGGCAGGGACGTTAAAACTTTATGTTGGCCAAAGGAATGGTCAACATGCACTGTTTAGGGTAGGTATTTCAGCGCGATGGTTGGCTATGGAATTTACTCATTTATGTTTTAAGAACACTTAAAAAGTGGAAAATATCTTTTTTATTTCTTTCCATATTTGAGTGAGAGCAATACTCTTGGCGTACAATGTTTAATTATTATAGTGTACATCATGGTAAACTGTTGAAGCTGTCAATGAGAGCATGGTATATAACTAGTACCAATTTGTATGCTCATTGCGTCATTGCGACAACAATGATGTATTGAAATATTGTCTTTGAAGCTTTAAGATTGTTATAATTGAAACTAATTATCCTTTTGTGACAGCCTGTTATAAGCTCTTAGAAGGTCAAAATTGGATATCGTTCGGTTTTATTTTTCTCTATTGTTTCCTGGTCCATTTTACCGCTGATGATTCATGGTTAGAACTAAAATCTGTACGATTCTGTTGCATTCATTAATTTCATCCACTTTGAAAAAATCAATTGCTTATTAATTTCTCCGTTTGTTTCTACCGTGAATGGAATTCGATGCAGGAGTTTGGGTGTCATACAGGTACAAAACCTAGGTACAGTTGAATTAAGTCGCCATTGAGAAAAGATTTCTGAAAATATAGAAAAATAAAATAAATTCACTGTTTGATAACATCGTAATTCAGTACTCTCGTGCTGATTGTCATTAGATAGTTAAAAATAATTGGACGGCAGCTTTAGTAATTTGGTTTTCTAACAAACTCAAAACATATTATTTGCCTCGGTTAAGTCACCAATGAGGGATCAAAGACTAGTACTAGTCTAGTCATTAACATACGGGATGATACAAAAAGAAGATGAAGAGGCATTTTATGTTCGAGACAAGAAAATTGATATCATAAGATACGTAAAATCACAAAGCAAAGGCGTCTGGTTCACACATTACACTAAACCTTAGAAAAATAAACTGAAGTAAAAATAGAATGTAATTTTTTGTATCGCGGATGAAGATAGTTCTTTTAAGTGTTGTATCTGTATTTGTAATATATGTTGGCATTAGACCCATTCATCACAATGCTGTGTAATACATATAATGCTATCTTATTATCGTTAGTGGATTTAACGATCTTTTCTTTCTCACATTGTATCCGACCTGCCACACATGAATATCTTCACATCAATTTTTCCGAATTATGAAAATACAGTCTTCTGGTACAGAATTTAATTGGTATCAGTAGTTATGTTTGTGTGACTTAGACTACTACACATAAAGACTTTGTTGCCACTTTTTCTTCCTTTGTATCATGTTGAAAGTCATGCATGACCTATAATTATTATTTTCGAACAGCAGCATTTTGTTCTTCTTAACATGATGTCGTTTGGGTGCCCGTTACAAAAAAAACCGGTTTATTTATGACACCTGTTAAAACGAGAAAATAAAACATACATAGAAATGTATTGGATGTCTGAGAATACACTGGTCCTTTCATCTAAGCATTGCCGACATGTTTGGTACCTCATAAAGTCGAGGTCGGCCTGCGGTTGGGCATTGTTTGCACTCACAGACGGCCGAGTGACATGCCAGCTCATGAGGCTATACCAGAAACGTTCACTTGAATCGCCCTTCCGTATGATGCTGACGCCATTTTCTTACCCGCCGTGCATACTACACTGATGCGAAGTGGCATTGTGATCGGCGTGGTGCTGGAGCGCCGGGGGAGGGAGCAGGTCACACACAGAGTGGTGCTATTCTGACTGTCATTCACGTGTTTACACGTGTATTACCCTTTGTATCTTTATTAACTGGCAACACATACTACAACACCTGACATAAATACTAACTTTCGTTAAGTATAAGACTCCTGTAAAACGTATGTGTAGCAGATTTTTTTATATATCAAATACTGGTGGGAAAAAATTAAGTTTATTTGTTATGATAATGAGTTTTGTTTAATCTTTATTTACACGTTATTTGCATTTATTCTGTAGATCCGAATTTGCAATGGTATATTACTTAAGAGATATTTTCAGAATTTTATATAAAAAATACTGTTGCACATTAAAGCCTCCATTGTCCATGTCGTACAGTGTTGTAGGATTCGAGTTAATTTCCTTTCTTTGTGTGATAATGCTAAAATATAAAATGGCATAATAGTTTTAAACGCATTTCTAGTTACTTGTATGTAGAAACTATTGTCATACGGACAGTAAATTTATAATATGAAGAGAAAGCAAAGATATTTTCAACAATGTATATTTTTGTGTAATACATTACATCCTGGAACCAATAATGGTCCGGGACAGCCTTTGCCTAACGATTCAGGAATCCGTGTCGGATACCTTGTAAAAAGAATAGAATAATATCCCCTGCGAAGAATCGTCCGAGTTATTGAGGACGCCTGCTGGCTCTACACTTGGAAACAGTAAACACACAAAATGAATAATTGACTCGCTACGAAATATTTGGTTTGAAGAATGGATTTGTTCTGAGGACAGACAGACCATGACAGTCAGACATCTACACGCCTTCATCATGTAATCAATCATGACCCTTAATACGAAACAGGAAGAGAAGCTGTGATTCTAATATATAAAACACTCTCCGGATTTTTATTTCCATTTTCCTACTTTCTGGGTTTTTAACGTTAATGTTTAAGTTTTCATTAAATATCAGCGTTGCAGCAAACAGAACCTTGCATTTTGTCTGCAAGGCTGTCATTTATTACGATTATAAATGCCATAATAGACTAATCAATGTCTACATATTTTAATATATTTTACGTTACATTACATACATTCGTTAAGGTATAAAACAGTGTAGTTAAATGTCGATTTATTTTTGTTGGTAAAATGTTACACGGATTAATGAGTTTATGTTTGTATAAAACGTCAGAAATAAAAGAGAAACAATTTGTCTCTTGAGTACTGTATGGAACCCTTAAATAACGAATGAGAACCATGGAAAATGCATACAATGGAGATTACATATAAGTAAGGCATTTCAATACAAGAATCACAAAACTATTTTTATTTTGGTCGGGATTGCTGTAATGGTCTTTCCGACATCTCTCCTTTTTATCAGTGGGCTTGCGATGAATACTGCGTGGAGACCTCACACCAATTTTGATACAGGCGCCAGATTCTAATTTGACATAACAACACTGATTTTCAAGAATGGTGAAATAAAGGTTTCTGTATTAAGACAAGTAATACATCTTTTCGCATGCATTTAATACACGAACTGTTACATAACACTTATGTAAACATGATCAATCCGACTTCCTCTATTCCATTAGATTTCTATCTTAACTATGATTTTAAATTTCCGGATAATCAAATGCTATGATGATAATATCTATAACTGGTTCCCCCACATTTAGTGCGCCACACATTGTGTTGCAGACAAAACATGTACGTGGGTGTCGGTCTGCGCGTGATACGAGGACTAATTGTACGCCCAGCAATCAAACGAGCAGGGTCCCTTATCTTTTCTATATAAATATATCAAACTATTCACGTAGTATACCTTACGTTCAATGATAACGAGGAAAGACGGTTCCGATGCTGTTTGCATCTTGCGTTTATCTCGCGCATATTGTGCGCCCACAAAAATTAAAAAAAAGTTTTGAGCTTCCAAAATTTGTTCCTATTTAATTCTTTTCTCCGCTTTGTTTGATTGAATATATATGATGTTCCTCACATCATTGACTTGCTTGAAATTGTAAAAATGTTTGCAATTAAAAAGAACTCCACAACTTGAAACACTATACTATACTCATTATGCATGTATGGTCAATCCCTATTGCCATTAGCGTTGCCAACGCCTAATTTAGTAGTAATGACTCGATAGACAACCCTGATGATTACTTCACCAGATAGGATCAATTCTTTGTTCCATTGTCATTTTGGTGAGACCTGGCATCAGGTGTGTATCAGTCAGCGGATGCGGATCACACGGATAGTTTAACTTTAAGTTCTGTGTAGCATGTACCATAGCAATACCTGTCTTAACAAGAATACTTTTGGCCACGTTTCCTACTTTGTATCTCTGTATGAATTATTGCCTTTATCGTTTCCTCTCTGGTACAAAAACGATCAAGATCACATGGCTGAGGTAGCTTCCTCAGCAGTATAGGAGAGATCTTGTTGATCAAACAAATATGTATGAAAATGATCATAAAATATCTAATTTATAAAGAAGGGTTATTTAATCTTCGATAGTAGCATTGAGAAGGAAGATAAAGTAAAGGTGAAAATACCATATTCAGAAATTCATTGAAATCTTATGTAGAAGGACATGTACCGAATATACTGGTTCAGCGGTGGTAAAAGAGGTCTGAATGTATAGGTAATGGTTTGCCCATTGCTATTGTAGCGGTAAACTCGGAGTTCGTTGGGGGTGTCTTAAGTTGATAGGAGTACATCAACGATCTGACAGAGGTTTATTGATGGGCACCGACATCAAACGTTGGTCGGAAACCCGATTCTAACATTGTTTATTTCCATCGTTTTACCCCTAGGTAACACTCTTCCCGTTGGATACAAGTCTGATGCCTGGCTGTTTTGGTATCTGATCAACTTGTTTGTTCAAACCGTCGATAATATTTCTCCAGGATTAACATTGATTATGTATTTGCGACGACACAATCTGTCTATAGTCAAATTAAATTTTTCTTGTTTTTCTTTCTTAATAAATTCAGTCCTGTGTAATTGTCTTTAGATGTTTCATTTAAAAACGATGCTATGGAAACTACCAATGCTTGCCAAACGTAGAATACGTTTAACCAACTACTGTTTGCCAAGAGAGGTTTGATAAAGAAACATGTTCTTTTACACTGATTTGTTTGAAAGACACCTGTAATCTGTTTTGAAAAGAGTATGTAAGCTCAGTATCAACGGCAGAATCAGTCAGAGAAAACACCCTCTTGTCGTCGCGTGCTCTCACGTGCATTCATGCTCTAATGGAGGAGTATGTAAAGCTTGAGTTAATCTCTATAACTTAGATAATGCTGTTTCTAATTCTAAAATTATGTCATACCCCGTCAACACCCACACTTAGCACTACTAGTAAGTAATGAAAGAAGAGGCATTCCAAATTCCAATTTTCTCATCCACTTGTGTTTATTGGAGTTGAAGCACGTGATGTGTTGTAAATAGGACAACGCATCCCTGCCGATCTATATCTCTTCTGTCTTCTCATATAAATGTAGAGTTTTAAGCCATTTTAATGCCAATCAGTGACGGTCGCTATCCACTTCCGTTACCAAAAATGTGCACCTGTTGACCTCCATTGTCAATCTTTTGAGTGCAGCTTTGTAGGTCTTACTTTGACTCTAATGGCTGTCACTCGAGAAATGCCAATAAATGTGTTTAGTTAATAACAGTATTGAGTTTTGCGTATGCTCAAGATATTTGGAACCCTTTATCTGAAAAGGCTATTTGTTTCTATGCCGTGAATTTTAACCATCATAAAGGAAATAGATGGTGTTTGTTAAAACCTATCCTACCTAAGCTTTATCATTTGTCTCGAAAGCTGGAATTAAGAAATACGATAATTCGCTTTTCTTGTTATGACGTTTTTTGGCAAACACAGTATGCTACTTTCAAAACAGATTAAATAACGTTGTGCACTGTGTTAGTGAGCTCGACCTTTATAATGTATACCCTCAGGTGTGCTAGCCTGTCAATCATTCTAGATCCTCGGATGGGTTCTCAGGGAGCGGTTCATGCATCAATCACCGCAAAGATGTTGCGTGTTTGATTTTATAGACAGAGAGCGATGTACGAGATGATTAAGGCACCTTCTGTCGTATCATCACCGTCATCACCATCACCATCTTTTAACGGGTATATGTTTTGTTTCTGACAAACATTTTCACAAGTTATAACCATTTTCTTTTAAGGTGTAACATCATATTCCCACGTTCCTATCTGCTCTGTAGGTATCGTTATAGAAAGAAACATAAGCCTTTAACGATTTTGGCAAACATGCAATTCTCTTGTTTACATGAGAGAAAAGTTAAATTGCCTTGATTATATAACTATGTTGTTTATCAGCTATCACTAATCATTTATATAAATTAAGTAATTATTAGATAATCTCGTGATATGTTATTATCCCAATCAGTCCAACCTGTTTCGCATAGTCAAATATTGTTACCCTACTCAAGTAAGATTTGTTGTTGCAATATTGACATTCAGTGCAATATATGTTGTACTATAAGATATAGGCATTGATCTCTAGCTGATTCACAACCTCCCTTATCTGGGAAGAAAGTAGATTACACATGGAGGCTTTTATTTGCGAGTGTTTAAGGGACTGCCTCTTGTCTCTATGATATTCATTATAAGAAATGCTGTTGAATTTTTTATCTCTGGTGTATTTTTAAGTATTTGACTGAGAGATAAACTGGAAGAGATATTGATTTCAGTTCATTACAAAACACTGATCTGATAGCCAATCAAGTGAATTAAGTGAGCGTCTTTCCACTACTCGATCGAGTTGCACGTCATTGTTGTTATTGGAATGAATGAACAAGGTCCCAATGATTATTTTGCATTGTTTTCAAGTATGCTACATTACTATAATTGACAGATGGTAATCTTCACTTGATAACCCGGTTAATAAAAATGTTCAGCGGACAATAACCATGACAGTAATGGTATATATCACACCTTGAAGTAAAAGATTAATTGATTGCATTCAGTGCATTTTATTTTGTTTCTTGATGCCTTAACATAAGTCATCATTACTATACTGATAACATAACACAAACTGACAGCAATCTGACAAAATACTAGGTTTAACTTATTATGAAATGGAACAGGATCATTCACGAAACGCCTCTATATAGATGTCAGGGGACGACAATTCCTTTATGTTGTATCAATTAATGTGATGTATCTAATAATGTCAATTTTCATGGGTTTTTTTTAGTTTTAGCTCGGAAGAACTCGGTCGTTGAAGTCAGTAAAGCACCAGATTAAATGCGTCAGCAGTTAGAAAAACTTGTTCTTGTTTGCTGATTCATCCATTGTTGTCGTATAACTTATCATGCCTTTTCTCACCCTTTTGCAGGGGGCTTTGCAAGATGTAAAAATAGTAACACAGGCACACGGTTATCTGTTACAATGTCCACAACAAGATACTGGTACGTATTGTTTTCTGCCTCCAAATTAAATGTTTTAGATAAGCACATACCATTCGACCACCTTGTGGACATGTTCAGCGCATATGGCTAGCAAAGGTTTCACGTTTTCGAAACTAGTACTACAGTGATGTTGAAATATTTAATTTAAAAATGTTTTAATGAGCTTGTTGAAACCTTCCACTATTTTCTGTTTTCTGTGTCAAACGTCCTTAAATAATTCTGTAAAAAGAAGTAAAATATATATCAGGGAATTTTCCAACCTCATAATTGATTGACTAATTGTGATAATATTCGAATCCTTGAAAAAAGGGGAAACGGTTTATTTGGAAGGGTTTGCTTGCACTTGTGAACTTGAACATAGAATTCTTCGATAGTTAATACACAACGTATTCAAAAGTGCGTTTTATGGTAATGTAGCCCATCTGGATGACCGCATGGTGCAATTGCGTTAGTCTTTTACTCTCTCTATTACAAAATTCTTATCAGAAAAAATATATTGTCTTATTTTTTTAAACCAAATTTGAAATCCAGACAACATTATGCCCTTTAAATGCAGTGTGAATCAGGACATATTTAGCTATTGAATTTATGCATTATATTTAATCATTCCATAAAAGTTTCGCATTGACAAATGTATTGCCAATTAGGTGTGGAATGTTATACAGGATATTTGGGTCACACTACCAGATTACCCTCGCATACTCCTGGCAGGTTGAGAAATATATATAATACTTTGGAAAACAAGATACATCGTCGAATTTTAACCAACCTTGACGTTATAGTGTTTGTAGATTACGTTTGGAAAAACATTAAAAGTAGTATAGAACATCACGCCCAAAGCAAGTTTGGGTCAATTTAGAATCAATCTGCTAGTAATGGGTTTCACAAGTGTTATAAAACGCAGATACTTGCAGAAACCAAATTGATTAAATAGCAATAAAAAAATCAACAAATTTCATATAACGCTTACAGAGAAAAATCGAGATAATTGGATTTGAGAATTTAATGTTTTAAAGTGATTAACGTTTGCTCGTGCTCTTTCAGCTTGTCCTACATGTGCACAGTATCAAGCGCTTGAACAGCAAGTCAAAAATATGTATTCCTTGTACCAAAATCTATCCCTGAAGGTAAGTGCTAGGTTTTGTAATAGTGTAACCATTTTCAAAGGATGAAACCCAAATCTTATTAGTTTCTCAACTTCTTACTGGGGACAGTGCCAGCAACTTCAGTTTGGCCTTAATTTCCTTAAGTATACGACTTCATCTCTGTTCCTGAGCAGTACATCTTTTATTGCCGATATAGCAAGTCCCTGTTTCAGCTTAAGATTCAAGAACCGTCTAGTTATCCCATTACAATAACATCATTTATATGTGTGTGTGGTACGGGAGTGATATGCTCTAGAACGGGACTAAATCAGAATTGCTATTTGCTGAAATTTTATTGATGGAAAATATTATGGAATTCAATTTTTTAAGAACAAAATATTTAAAGAAAACACTACGAAAACGTTCTAAATATTGTTAACAGCAAAATGGGCGTGTTTCACTCAAACGTTCATGAAACGATGTATTCCTATGTTAATACAAGATTATATTGATGTGAGCACAGAAACGTAAGGCAGTTTTTTATCAGTACGTTTGTTGATGTAAACTGCATCATATTTGACAATCGTAGACCTTCCAAGGGAATGTTTAAAACGATGAAAGAGATTTCATAAATATTTCACGTCCAAGTATATGGGTTCCACACATTTCTCTCTGACAATGATTTGTGACATTATTGTATGGGGTCTACTCGAACTATTTGGCAATATTCGCCTATTAAAATGTTTATTATAGTCTGGGAAATTTCTTTTGGTGAAAATATGTTGTATCTGTGATGAGATGTTTATGCATTCACATTGACATTGATCTCTCTGTAAAATTAACCATAATTGCCGTCTAGAGTTTATCAATTTTAATTAGTTGACCCAATACATATGATGATATCATTTTCATTGTCAGTCTTTCTCGACAGAGTTATTGTATATCTTATTTGTATTTTCTAGCTTCTGCGGGCAGAAGAGAAAATCTTTGGTTTGGAACAGTGTGAGTGCCTAAAGAGTTGTTCACAGAATGGAACTTTGCGGAAGGAGGGAGAGGTGTGGCAGCTAGACCAATGCACGATGTGTCGGTGTGCGGTAAGCGTTCTCTCTCTCTCTACCTCTCTGTAGGTACTGATGATCAACCCAGTGTAAACTTTTGTGTTTGTTCAATTAAAAGAAACGCATCAAATATTTTACAATTAAGGGATGGGTTAGCATACCTTACACTTACAGACAATTGTATTCCATCGAAGATATTGTTTTTTTTCTCCTTATCGTACATGTCTGTTCTATCTAGGAGTACAGAGAAATGCTACGTTCGTTGTAGACGAGAAATTTGAATAAGTTATTATTATTTTTTTAGAACGGCACTGTCGAATGTCAGAAGGTGGATTGTCCGCCCGTCCAATGTGAGAATCCAGTATATCGAGACGGAGAGTGCTGCCCTGTCTGTCTCAGTGAGTAACTCTAAGTTGACCTTTGTACTTATGTTTCCCTGACGCTACTCATCGTAATATTTCATCTAATGATGCAAATATTTTTTGGTATTTTTTTTTAATTGATGAGATGCAACCAAGAAGTGAATCTTATGAACGAAAAAGAATTTCAAAATGAAAAGGGATGTATTAACATTCTTAAAGTAAACACAAAAATAACGCAAAATATATGTGAGAAACGTCTGTAGTTTTAAAGTGAATTGATGTTTTGATTGTTAGAAACTCTTTACGGGCGGTAATATCCAGACAACTTCTCTGAGTCGATTAGCATTTTAGTCGTTCTTGGCAAAAGCAGATTGTATAATTGTCAGGAAAATCGATAGAGTCCTCCTTGAAGAAGCATTAAACATGAGTTCTGAGAAGTAAAATGATCGGTAACCCTTGTTTTGCATATCTTTGTTGCACATTGCGGTAAAGGATTTGGCACACATGATCCATATCGCATTGGACGTCACCTTCCTTGCCAAGTTTCACTGAATGCCTGTTCCAGTTAGTCTTTAGACGCCATACAGATTATCAGTTGTTGTAACTGAAAGAAATTTTATTTCGATTGATAAAACATAAATTGGTACCTATAGATATTAAAATTAGATGTCTTATTTGTCATTGTTGCTTGAATTCGGTGGGTATCAGCCATTCGCAGTGCTTTTACGAAACCGTTAAAAAATTCCTCCATTTCAAATTGGAGTGATAGGTGTTACTTCTGATGCTTTGGATACGTTTTGCATCGTTTTAGCAATCTTAGGCATATATTCTAAAATTCGGTATAGGAAATATCTTAATGTTAGAATTGTAATCCAAATATGTTTTAGTTCGTTAACTGAATGTAGTGTATAACTTGCCAAGGATGCCGAGGTGTTTTATGTTACAGCTGTCGTGTTTTGATTGCAATAAACTTCAGTATCTCCGTTGCCTCTGTTTTAAAATTTTCGTTAAGATTTACCCTTCAGTGTATCATTTGATACTATCAACACAGTCTAAAACGTTATCGAATTAGATTTATCTAAAATTTATATTAACTGAAGATATATCTTATCAATATAAGTAATGATTGCGGTGTCATCTTTACCATGCTCCTATGTCTGAAAAAAATGCAAATTAACATAAATAAAGAACCACTTATTTCTTCAGATCTCTTGTTTGAAAACAGAATGTACTTATATTTGGAAGGCCCAGGTGCCTTAATGATAGGTCTATTATTATCCACAGACACTCTTTCAGTTGCCGCTCTACACAGCGGTTGTAACATCGAGCTTGGCACTGCCTGATTTATTACAAAGTCCATGTGTGTCCTTATATCAAACCCGTAACTGGAAAAATCATATTGCCACTGAAGTCAATAGAAGTAATTTGTAACAGGCTCGTCCTTCATTAAACACCGTAGTGAATCCATATGGTGATAACTTGTCGGTAAAATAGAAGAAAGCTGACTGAGTTGAAGGCTATTGTGAAAAATAGCAATGATAGCTTTAACAAACATGCTGCCATCTTTCCTTAATTCACGTGATCCAAAGTAATTGTCTGTATTGTAGATGAAAATAGCGTAATACAACTGTTTTTTCCTGTGCTTAATTCTTATTCTTTTTTCCACATATCACACTTCGAAACATTTGTTTGAAAATTTAAAAGATGTCTTAGCTGATCATTCCAAAATCACACATTAGAATTATAACTCTCAAAATAAGTTTTAAATTATGTATAGCATAGAAAAACAATGCATTCATAATATCATAAATCTGTCTCGTCCTCGTAGTCAAAACGTCATGGAGGTCATACTGCATTGTACATCTGTTTCATCCTTGTGCGACAAAAATTATAGAATTCATATTGCATAATACATTTGTTTCGTCATTGAAGCACAAACACCACCATATATCTGTATTGTATCCAACGATAGGAACATTGGTATATATTCAGGCATATGAGTGAACTATTCATTATTTGTAAAATTAACCAACTTTCGTTATCTTATTTAAACTTTTACCGTTTCAGCAAACTGTTTCTACAGCGGGAAATATTACGATCATGGTCAGTCCATCACCCCGCGTATGTGTGTAACGTGTACGTGCGATGTAAGTATACTAAGCTGTATAAATCACACATCACTGTGTCATATATTATGTAGATGCTTGGAAACTGTTACTTAGAGACCATAAGTCATCATACTTTCTGGATTTGTCACCTCATATCAAACGATGTGTTTCTGTCCCCCGATTTCTGCATTTTTATTTTAGGCAACCGTCGTGATCAGCCTGTGCTGTCTTACTACAATTATGTATTATTAATGAGTTTATTAACTTTCCATGGGTAAGAATCCATTACCGATACGCCCTAGCTTGTAGGCATCCTTATACAGCTGTATGATATAGTGTGTGTTGAAGTATTTTCATTAAATTTCCTAGATTCTGCCTCACCGGTTATGCAGCATACATTTTACTTTCTTTGTTCACAAGCATTTCTTCTAGAGTACAAACATAGTTGATCACACTTTTGGATATAAGATTTTCACTACCTGGATTCCAAAGCAATTTACGAAAAGTTTCGGCTTTCGTCGATTACTTGCCTGATGTTAATTACCGAAGTCATATGTTAATGAGGAAACATACTGTCTCACTGTCTGTAAATCACGGAGATTATTTCATGTGTTCACTAACATACCGTACCGACATCTTGTAAATAGATTAGTGAGAAGTGCAACTGGCCTCGATATCACTAAAGATAATTCGGATGGTTTTGGGTCCTAACTCAATCAGAGAGTTAATGACGAAATAACATCCAGGAATGTTCATTGACGGCACCTATATGGCTGCTTGAAACTGATTTGCCTAGATTTCCTCGACATTTATCTCACATCATGGTTAATAGCACATAATATGTAGTTCTTCAATAAACTTATATATGGGAATAGCTTGTATTGTCAATCCTAAGTTAGTAATATCGAAGAGGGAGAGGGAAATAAGGTTTACAACAGTACACAAATGCTTTCTACATCGATTTTATCATTGATTTGTTGCGATAAAGAAAACGCATTATATAATTTGCTAATCTTGTATCGTCAAACTATGTTTATCTTTCCGCCACAAAAAATGTTTTATTTTACTTAGACCTTGACCTGTTCCGATCTGGTAATAGGTTGCGCTAAGTAGACTGTTATAGAGTCTCGTTTCTGGTTCAGAATTGACGACTGTATACAATTTTGCTAAATTGATTAAGCACAGACACACGGAGTAAATGTAAAGGAAGCACATTTGTTTGGCTGCGTCCGTGTTCCGTCATAAATTGCGGAATGCTAGTGGTTGCGGAACTCGTAACTTATATCGCCATTATCGTCATTTCGTGAGTGCTTATACAGTCTGTTCCGGTGTTCCTTACAATGAACGAGACACAGAAGTGGAATGGTTGTGGATTTTTAAGATTACGTAACTAGCACCGTAATGCTTTAAGGATATAATCATTAGTCTTACAACAACAAAAAATGTCAATTGTTCATGAAAAATGTTTAAAAAAAGAAAAAAGCGAAGAATGTTTAAAGTGTTGGTATGTATGAAAATTTCCTGAAGTGAAACGCGGTAGGGCCTTGTGATGTTACTGAAGTGCCGTGGGATGGTAATATCCGTCTGTGAAAATTGCGATTTTTCTAGATTCAATCATAAGAACTTATCTTAATTTCATGTATGTAATTATATGAAAGATAAATCCGTATCATGATATTTCTGTTAATAGGATGGACGAATGGCATGTACCAAAGTGGACCCTGAACAAAACTGCGAAGTTTTAGATTGTCCTGTAGAAAAACAATTGCATATCAAAGATGAATGCTGCCCTGTGTGTGAAGGTGAGCACTGAACCCCGCTAGCGTTATTCGAAAGCAATTGATCGTAGGTAAAAATGAACCAAGAGATATTGACGCATCTATACTTATAAAGTAATAAACATATCAACAGTGTCTTCTTCCTCGACAACAAATATCCTGTTAATATATGTGGCAAGTTACACATTAGTCTAAACAAAAGTAAAACTCATTTTGCAATTGCGTTTTTATACTATCTATTGGTATGCTTTGTAAACTTTCATGATTGTGTGATGAATTCTCTTCTCTTTTAGGTACCGACTTCTGCTCCAAGGGCCACGAATGCCATGCAAATGCGGTGTGCGTCAATATGGCTACCCGTTACGGCTGTCAGTGTAAAATTGGTTTCACGGGTGATGGTACCCATTGTGAAGGTAATTAATTTAATGTTAACAGTGAAACATTATATCTATATGGCATTATTTTCTATGTCCGCGTACAAGACTTTATCAGAAAGTAATTGTTATTGACAATGATATAATGTTTCTATCCCTCACTTACATCTATTGTGTATTGTTTATCATGAATGTGTTTGATCTTTCAGATATTGATGAATGTCAAGTCAAAGGTGGAAAGACTGGTCACCATTGTAATGGGAACACAAAATGCGTCAATACCATTGGATCCTACACGTGTAGATGCCCATCAGGCGAAGCTCCGTCAGATCCTTACAAGTGTGAAGGTACCCACACGTCGTCTTCACCAGCAGTCCTCAATTTTTCACACTCATTACTGGCCGTGGCTTTCTTGCTACATCTGTGCCTTATGTATTATCATCTACATATTTCCTAACAATAGCTCTGTCGCCATGTTTCTATGGGGACAATGCCCTGTATTCGTTTGTCACTTTCTTTCAGTCTTTTCCTTTATAGAAAATGTTTCTTGTTAATGTTAAATATGTTGGCGTGTTTATCGTTAGGGTGGGACAAAATTGTTTTAGATTAAATGTCTGTTTGAGCTGGATGTGCCGGTGATGATCTGGTATCTATCTTGCTTGCATAGTTTATATTTATTTGTTTCTCACATTTCATTGGACCACTTTTTGGTTCAACAAACAAAACGTATAATACGTAAAGAAAAATAACGGTTTCTCGTGTAGGTTGCTGTCACGGCTTCACGCTATCGTATACACTGTTAGGCGAATGTTGTAAGCAAGTATCACTACTTGTCTGCAAAATGTTGTCGATTTGAATAAGTATCTCTTATCTTGATTTCTGTTGTGTTGTGATTGTATTACAGTGGCATTGTTCCATTCATCTACTTTCCATTATAATAGTTCGCTTCATTGCGGATTATAAAATATAATATTCCAATTGAAATGAAAATAGAAATATATATATATTGAGTCATTTTTGATAATGTAAGCTATGTCATCGACGTGGTTTAAAAGATATGACAAATGGAAGAGAGCGAGAATGAGATAGAAAACGAGAGAGACGGCGAATGAGAAAGATGGAAAAAAGAATTATTTTAATTGTAAATATTAAATTCGTTGTTGTTAAAATGTTGGTTAGTGTGAACGATTGTTTAGTATAAAGTGATCACGTGACAAATCATGTACCACCAGGATCAAAACTATCATAACGACATGGCAAGAATGATAGAACGAATGATTGTGATAATTGTGATTATTATTATTAATTTCATGTGATAATTCATATATAGTGTAAAAGGAAATATGTCGTTCATTGTTCGGATGTGAAGGAAATGTATATGTATATTTATTTACATGTATAGGTATGGTGCGAGAGAACAATTAACGGTATAGTCATGAAAATTATCAATTGAGAAAATACTTTTTCTACCTCTGGAAAATCGGCTGTAGGTTTTATTACAAAATTGGTTAATAAATCCCATTTCCTACAATCTAAATTGGTGATCGTTGTCTATTAATAGTTATTTGATGAAGGATAACTATACAAAGACAGGGCAGGCAATGACAAATAATTACAAATGACAATTAATTTGTAACTAAAGCACAATTCTAAGACACGTTCATGGACCAGTTAGAAAAGCATTTTAGTGAACATTACGAAATAAAAATAAGTATGCCTGTTCTGTAAGCGTATAGGCAGACACAATGCATCTTCTTTTTTCAGAATATATTATATATCACATTTAACTAATTAGAAATGAGAATTTGAACAGGAGTATCTTATTCAAAATAGAAAAAGACAAATTCGAAAGAAATAGGTAATTGTATGATTGTAAATTATGTTTGCGAACCACGTGACGGTCTAGAAAAGATAGTTTGAGGTGAAGGGACATGCATAGTTCTGCCATTTGGAGAAAATATCACCTACATCAAAGCTCACATCTAAAGTTGCCTCGGAAAATATCTATTTGAATTTTTTAAGTAATAGAGATTCTATGAAAAAATGCATACTTCATAAGGTGTATAATGTGTGTAATAAGTTATGCAAATGTCATATGTAGGAAATTGGATTATTGCTCAATTTACAGTGGATTTTCCAGAGATTATTGGAAAACATATGATAAATTTGATAATTCAAAACATTTCCTATTGTTTTATAAAAGGTGATAAAATCGTCTCCATTTCCGGCTCTGCATGTCGATATTTCATCTTTTTGAAATCTTCAATCAATATTATTCATGAGATATTTTTGACTTCAAAGTAGATTCAGCCCCAGTGGGAAAGGCGGAAACATGACCTCATCACCGTACTGTAGCTATGTAACACATTCCATTCTATAACAAATTTCCTAATTTGAAACAGAAATGCATGAAGACATATAAATGATTGTACCTACATCCACATGCAACACCGTTTTCTTTGAAATAACATGTCTTTGTCTACTTTCTAAACATATACCGATATTTACTATTATGAACATATTGAAATTGCCAAGACTTTATGTTCAAGACAGATTTCAATCATGTAGTGGAAGTGTTGATAACCATCAGTCGTGGTAGGTTCAAAATCTAGGGATGAAAACATAATCTATTAATTAAACAAATGCTTTAAGGGTAGCAAACGTAAACCCGCCAAACACTAGTTTCATTAAGCCCTTGTGTTTTCCAACTCTGTTAACACTTTGATAACACTATTTAATGGAATTCATAATTCATTGTCACTTTTCCAAGCATCACACACTATACAATCGGTCTGACCTTCAGAAGTGTGAAGAAAATCTCAATCGGGGTAATTATTCATTCCACAGGAGGTCGGCATGGTAAAATAGTATAGTATGTTTCACCTTCTTTATCGCCCAACAGGCGTGCACCGTCGGTTCGGAAATCAATTACAAAAACGCCAGACTTTCACATCGATAAATAAAGCCCGGTTTACATCATTACCTACTGCAAGTGACTCTACATGAAAGACATTCCGAATGTTATATAACGATGCAGGCTTGTTCTCACTCTCAGATAACAGGTCTCGGATTTTAATATTATTTCTGGATACCCGACCGGAATCGGTATAATTAAGGAATTAGATGTTAACGGGAACTGATAGGACATGCCTTGCTGGAAAACATTTAATGAAGTTCACCTGTGCTTGAATAAAATAAAATACCCATTAAACTCATCTCGCTTCGTAGCGTATTAGATGTGGTTAGTCTCGTAAAGATTCTGTCGGCACATTTTATATTGGGGTTATAATTGAGCATAGTTGTTTGCTGGCCACGTACATGAAGCTCAAAATTGTGAAATATTTAATTTGGATAGTTGAAGCTTGCTGTGTTATGTTTGTCAGTTCATGGTCTTATGAACATTTTTATTGAGGATAAACTATAATAACAATCATGTAATAAGGGGCTAGGAAGACAAAAAGGATTAATCTATACAGAATCGAAAGCTGTATTTGGTCAGGGGAGCTGATCTGATTGTGAGTCTCATATTTAAGGGTTTAAATTCAGGTGGACATATTGCATTATTTTTCAACTAACCCTTCAGTATTTATACACTTTTGCTATTGATGTTTAAGGTCCTCAATGCCACTTCTAATGAAATCTCTTTCTTGACCGTTCAGAAAGTCCTCCACTGCATGTATGACGTCATCATCTGACTGAAAGTAGTACCGGAAATGGCCTTTTTCAATTTTGGAAATAGATGAAAGTCTGACGGAGCGAGATCAGGCGGATAAGGCGAATGTTTAATCAATTCAAAGCTATAGTCGTTATTAACAGCAATGATATTGACGGACTTGTGAACAGGTACAATGTCCTGGTGGAACAACACAACCTGACTGAGTCTTCCGCGGCGTTTTCTCTTAACTGTCTAAGAGGTGATGGCAGATAATCTATCATCAGAATACCATCAGCACCCGAGAAAACCAAGGTCATAACCTTTCCACCTGATTGAACAGTCTTTGGTGCCTTCTTTGGCGGGGATGAACTAGAGTGCTTCCATTGTTTAGACCGTTGTTTGGCCTCTGTGGTGAAATGATGGACACACGCTTCATCCAGTCACAAATCTCTGCAGAAAGTTAGCAGTATCTGCCTCTAAAAGGTTCAGATTATCATACGATAAAGTCCGTTTGGTGTGTTTCTGATCAACTGTCAGAAGCCTTGGTACCAATCGGGCCGAGAGCTTTCTCATTGCAAGATCTTCTGTAAGAATGGAATGTTCTGTTTCCGTTGAAATCCCAACTGTTCTGGCTATATATCTCTCTGTAACTCGACTGTCAGTCATATCAATATCATAGACATCAGCCATTCCTGGGGTTACAACAGTGACAGGCCTTCCAGGAAAGGCGTCATCCCCAAGGCTCTACCTGTCACGCTTAATTCAGTCATTCACCTTTCCAATGTAGCATATGGCTGGGCAACATTCCTTGTTGTTGCTACCATATTAGAATGACTATACTGAATAGCTGCTCTTTCAGCGATTTTGTCCATTCCGTTACGTCAGAATACTTCTTCCACATAAATTGGTCAAATAAAAACCATTCTTCGGGTGCACAGCCTTAAATAGTCAGGGAATAGTATAGCTGAAAAGGACTTCCCTGCTTATTTCTTCCATACAAAGCTCACAACTTATCAAGCAGGCCTCGTAGATGGATAAAAACCGAGAGACTGTTTTAATGTAAAGAAATTTTCATACTGAAATCTGTCAGACAATGTTCCCTTATTCATTTTTGTCATCGTGGTTAAGACTTGTATCGGAAAAGAATCACAAAAGTAATTAGGACTAAATTATGGTTACATATATATTTTTAGAATTATATAGAAATAATGAAATAGACTGCATCCTGCAACTGTATTGATACAAAGAACCTACATTTTCAAATCTAAGAGGTGACTTAGGAAATTGATCGAACGAAAGTTAATTCATGGGGAGGCGCAACTGCCCAATAATTGAATGACTTTCATGGTTTTTAATATCCTGTATTTACCTTAGTTTTGTTTCAATAGCTAGTGAAATTCGACACATGCCCAACTAAGGTGAGGAACTCGCGATTATTAACTAAAAATGTTAAGAACAAAGTATGTATCCATGATAAAAGCGGTTGCACAATCACGTTTTCAAATTTCAACCGCAGGAAAACGCTTTGGAATTTCGTGAAATCTCTGACGCTATGCACAATTTGATGGACCGGAAAAGTTGTTTCAAAAGCTGGAAGACATATAATGCAAATAAAAAATGACGATGTGTGGGAGAGGTCATCGCGTCGATTATCAGATATAGCATAATGTTTTCTGTTTCGTTAAGCCTTATAATTAAAATATCAAACATGTATATCATAGTGTATCTTGTTTTAAACTTTCATGGTCACCTTCGTCCTTTCAGTTGTGGTTGCTAAATGTTTCTGAACTATATTCTTGTCAAGAAAATTCAAGTGATCGGTATAAATTCACATAAATGTGAAATGTGAAATTCTGATAAATACATATCAACAATGTTAGATATTTCTGTTTAATTGGAGATCGTATAGAATGTTATTTCCAGACCTGTAAACCTGTCTACAGTAGAACAGGTAGTTCAAAATACATAAAACATTGATAGGTAATTAGGAGTAGTCGTTGATAGAATGTACGAACCCAGTTTAATTACACATATTCACTCTCCTCCTTTAAATTGCTGACGCTGTGCACATTTTAATGGACAAGGGAAACTTGTTTCAAAAGCAGGAAGGCATATACAACAAGGAATGAAAAAAAAATGACGAGAAGTCGGAGAGGCCATTACGTCAATGTTTTCGTTAGATTAAAAAGCAAAAACACTTTCAACTTTGAATGGCTGGATTCTATAATAGGTCGACACTAAGTGACTGGCTTACCTTGTTTCTGTTTTCATTGCGGTAAACAGTATCTCGATTTATGCCTGACTTTCCCTCGATTCTTTCTTAACATTAACCACATCGCCTACTTAGGAAGCAAACACAATACATTGGAAGCTACGTAACACGCTGATCGCCTGCTGTAAAGTCCTATACAGTAGACCATATATTCAAGCGGAATATTAGCTGTTTCCTGGCACTGATGAGTACTTGACACGGCTCACCAGGACAGTAATCGACTATATTGGTCTAAGTAATTCGCCTTCATTGATCTATACCAGATCATGCTTTTGCAAAGTCATGATAGCTAAACTCTATTGGGGACTGTCAGAATTTTATACTTCAGCCACCTAGTTCTCGCCTGTGTTCCATATGTCCATGCATATTTCTGTCAAGTGATCTATGTTACATTGTTATGTTTTTTGTAAAGGTAAGAAGTTCAGACCTATATCATGCTGCAAGATTATCACTTATATCGTAAAGTACAAAAAGCTATTACGTGAACATTTATCATGCATTTTGTCCTCCAAGCATTGCCGTTCATGATCGTTAGTTAAGGATATTTCTCACCGTGTCACTCTTTAGGATATTTCTCACTGTGTCATATTTTAGGATATTTCTCACTTTGTCATTCTTTAGGATATTTCTCACAGTGTCACTCTGTTGGATATTTCTAACTTTGTCACTCTGTAGGATATTTCTAACTTTGTCACTCTGTAGGATATTTCTAACTTTGTCACTCTGTAGGATATTTTTAACTTTGTAACTCTGTAGGATATTTCTCACAGTGTCACTCTGTAGGATATTTCTCACAGTGTCACTCTGTAGGATATTTCTCACAGTGTCACTCTGTAGGATATTTCTCACATTGTCACTCTGTAGGATATTTCTAACTTAGTCACTCTGTAGGATATGCACTAGTTAATGTCGTTTCATTATGTTAGGGTTTATATTGGCTCAGAATCAAATTCAAAACAGGACGAATCTTCTATACGACAAACGATATTACTAGGTCAAACACCACGGTAAGCATTATATCGTACATTGAAGTAAACAATGATTATTATGTCAAACACCACGATAAGCAATGATTAAGGCATTGTCCATGTTACGTTAAGAAAATGATCCCTGACCAGTTACGAGGTAGATTTATTTCATATCATCTTTGAGCATTCTATGATATGACGTCAAGGTTTGAATTTTCATTTCCTAAGGGAAATATCTCTCTGTTCACTTTGAATTATTACTTAATATCATTAATAATCATTGAAGGGAGATAACTGTTACAGAAATAATATGTATGTAGTTTATATCTAAAGAACACTATATATCAGAATGAAGCTAATGTGTGATTTTTAATGATCTCCGAATTTTCTGCTCCAATTTGTGAGATTTATTACATGCTGATCTTTTCTTAAAGAGTAAATCAAGCATTTCCAGTTGCCATCATGGACCAAAGTTGATTCAAAGCATATGCTAACTCTGCATAGTTAACTCATTTATAGGACAGGTAGTGCCACGCACATGTTTTATGAGTTCACCTGATCGCCGAGTTTATTCTTTAGGCATATCATGAACTCAAAACATTTTTGTATTACTAAAATTTAACAGTATATCATGAAATCAACATGCACGTATACCTGTAATGTTCGTTTGATATAGACTAGACAACAGAGGTCTAAAGCTAACATACACAAAAGATACTTAACAACGGGAGGCGAAACTCTGCGTTCACTTTCGTTAGACGAAAATAAAATATCCGAGTAATTTACCATATCTTAACGTCTGTCATTATCAATTCAGAAACACGTGTGTTGTATTACCTATCTGCTATTTTTGGTATAATCAAAAACACTATTCAACTGCAAAAGTATTGTAATTTTTAAGAGCATCCGCTTTTAATGATCTGATCGTCAATGAAAAGAAAGATACAATTACGGCAGTTAACTTAGTTACATTTCGATTGCATTAATTTTCGCGAGTTTTATCTCAGAATAATCGTTCTTTTATCACATGTGTACTTTTAAGAGCAGAAAAAAACTTGGAACCATAGAGAGAGAAGTCATAATATTTAATCTCATGAGAAATACGAGCAAAGGTAAATCTTGGAGGTATGTTACCAACTGCTGAGGGCTTTAATACAGGTGATACAGGTGAGAGAACTAACACTACACACAAGATTAAACGATAAAACTTTTATTGTTTTCAGCCATAAAGTTTAAGATTTTCCTAATGCTACAACAGTATTGATTTCTAATTTTAAATCATAAATGAATTCAAACCTATAACCAAAGATTGTGTTATCTCTGTATTCTGGGTAGCTCAGTACGAAATCTTAGATGAAAGCATAGATATACTTATATGTATTAAGTCACAGTTTCCATCATTTGAAATTTCAAAGATGTTATTTAAAAGTGTAAATTATCACCAATTAAGAAAGTAATTTGATTGTAAAACCAAAATGTGATTCTTTCTTTACGATTTCACGGCTTGCTGATAGTATATGTTTGCATAAAGCTTATCATGCGTTTCGACAAATATATTATGAACCGGAAAAACAGCACATGTTCTTTTTCAAAATAATTCGCGTTAGACCGGTAACTGTGAGAACATAACTAGTCTTCCGTCGACTCATCACAGGAGAAGATAAAACTCGTGATTTACAGATATACGACTTTGTTTATTCAAGTTTAATAGTATTTTATTGCCAAAAAGCAAAGGGATTGGTAAACGTTAAAATCAATATGTTAAGCCCCCTCCTGGTATCACACTTTAAAGTTCTTGACAATGTCCTTTTTGAAAATTAGTTTTATCAGTGTTGAAAACTAGTTGGATAATGTTGGTTAACCTTATCTGAGTGTATTAGGACCACCTTAGATCTCAAATAGTGTACAGTACAACGTCTATACAGTGCTGATCAGATAATGTTGTAAATGTTTGTATTTTTTTTAGTTGAAGCGTAATGAAAAAAACTCAAAATAGTTACAGTAACTAGCTTTAAGATGACTTTATCAATTTTGTTTGGTCGAACAGGGTCTGGAAAACTCTTTTCTCATGGTGAGCAATTAGTTCATTAATTATGTGATTCCAGATCACGTGACATATACATAATATTAAATAAACAAGAATGAAGTTTAATACAAATCACTTGGGGATATTAACATAATCATATATGTTGTATAAGCATTGATATAATATTTGAGGTATTGAACAGTCCGATACAACTGCAAATTTGCGACCACAGTCAAAGAACTCATTACGGATGAAAACTGTTCATTTCAACATGTTTTCAGTTTCCAGTTATAGAACTTTTCAATTGATATCATAGAATGCTTAAAGAGATATTATAAAACGTTTCCTGTGGTATCATAGAACGTTTCCTGCAATTTCATAGAACGTTTCCTGTAATATAATAGAACGTTTCCTGTAATATAATAGAACGTTTCCTGTAATATAATAGAACGTTTCCTGTAATATAATAGAACGTTTCCTGTAATATAATATAACGTTTCCTGTGATATAATAGAACGTTTCCTGTGATATAATAGAACGTTTCCTGTAATATAATAGAACGTTTCCTGTAATATGATAGAACGTTTCCTGTGATATGATAGAACGTTTCCTGTAATATAATAGAACGTTTCCTGTAATATAATAGAACGTTTCCTGTGGTATCATAGAACGTTTCCTGTAATATAATAGAACGTTTCCTGTAATATAATAGAACGTTTCCTGTGATATGATACAACAGTTCCACTGATTAAACCTTTCTAGTGATATGAGAGGACATTTGCATTAATTAGATTTAACGTTTACGGTGACATAATATAATTTTGCCAATTATGTCACGTTTCTGGTTATATCAAATTTCCCCGATGATGTAACTATTTAGTGTCATGTTAGAACTTTTCTATTAATAGAACGTCGTCGATGATATCGTATAATTTCCAGTTTCCAGTGATATTACATATTTTCCTATTTACACACCATTTCTGTGATATATTATTTTTCTAATGATATGATACTGTTGAATGGATACAATATTTGAAATTCGTTTGCATTCTTGCTCGGATGCTTAACATTTGGTATGAAATGGTTCTTGTTTAATTCAAACCTGTTATGGTCGATCAAATAGTTGTTGATTGAAGACTTACATGTTTTCTTCGTTGTAACAACAGAATTAATGGATGATGAAATAAGAAGTGTAGTAAACACTTGTGGAACACATAATTTCGCCTCCACCTATACATCATTAGAAAACCCATTTCATGTGTTATTTTTGCAATATTTCGTCTTTATATTGACATCATGTTTTTCCTTTGTTTTAATGTTTCTTTCCCTTGTCCCTGCCTAAATTTCTGAATCTATTTTGTAATACGGGTGCATGGTTAATTTTCATTACAGAACGGAATGAGTGCCTATCTGGCGTGCATTCTTGTGACATGAACGCAGACTGTTTGGACACACGCGGGAGTTACACCTGTCATTGTCGTCATGGATACACGGGAGACGGATATACGTGTAGTCGTATGTATTATCCTGATTTCATTGGTCGTTTAGATGTTCAGAAGTTGAGAATAGTGTTTCTATGTACACATATCAGTATATACAAAAATTGCGTTCTAATTCTTTTCACATTTACGATTTTCAACTCCAAAAAAGCCTTATTGCTCAGAGTGGAAATCAGCTCTGACAGGGTAATCCCTGCATAATATTATCTAATTTACCAAGCCTGTATCTATTTGATAATTAAGAATATCTTTTTTATTAAACAAATTATCATTTTGAAAGATACTGAATAGATTTTGTGACTTATCAATCCACATTGGAATGTGTAGCCTTACTGCTACCTATTCGGAAGAACACTTTCGTGTTGAGGAGTATGAAGATAGTACTGTTCCGATTCCTCTGGGTGTTATGTTCGGTGGTCTGTTTACAATACAAGGTATGACTGATTTCACTGAATGCAATATGAATTGATGTTTTGACAACTATAACAAATATCTTATTTTCTTTAGCTGTCTGTGACGGTAGTTGCCTCAACGGTGGTGTTTGTATAGCTCCTAGTGTCTGTGAGTGTCGTCACGGATATATCGGCATGAACTGTGAGCTTGGTAAGTCGATGAAATAACGAGTTCGTAATTGGAGTTTGACCATATTTTTTTATTTATTTATTTATTTATTTATTTATTTATTTATGTATTTATTTAAAAAGTTCCGTTACTCGAATTACAATATTATAATTTCAATAACCTAAATGGACTTGGTTTTGTGTTTCTTGCGTGTGTTTTTTACGTTATACAGTACTGGACAACCAATATAGCTGGTGAAAATTGGTTCGAAACTCTACGGTCAAATGTTTATGTACCTGGTAGTAAATTACACTTTCCTAACAATTGTATTATATATATTTTTTTTATTTTCACTATCTTTAAATTTAATCGAGGAAAACAGAAGCCATTGGCAAAAAGTATGAAACTGGATGTTTGTAACATGGTGTTTACTTAACGACTGAATCTAATTTTATCAAGACCGTATGGTTTATACATATATAGAATTTATTTTTAATGGTATGTAAAATAAGACTTATGTCATTTCAAATGACATCGAAGACGTTTTTTCTTTGAAAAGCATCACTTCTGTTTCCTGATCTACAGTAAAACAACAATTGTGTTTCAATTATCACTTATACTCCAAGAGAATATGGCCGGCCAAATCCATAATTGTGTACATAGTGATAATCTATATATTATATTTATTTAGAAGAATGCGAGTTTAATTACCTGATACTTGTTATATACAATTTATCCTTTCAAGTATACAGTCTGGAAATATCAATAACATTATTCATAGATACACATTCATCTTAAATCATATACTCCTGGACACCAAGATATCAATAATGTAATGCAAATAATAATATACTGTAATAACTATAAAGTTCGTTTATAGTTTTGTAGGGCAATACAGCACAATTACATCAAATTATATAGTCGAGCTCCACTCTTTTAAGGTCCAAAACAATTCTTAAATAAGGGTATATTATCATTCAAAATCAAAATACAACATACTCTTGCCTTATCTGTAATAATATTATCAGTAGAATGGACTAGATATTTGAAAAATATGTCGAAATCATGTTTTAGCTATCTAGGTCCAAAGTGTCAGACGACAAAGGTTTGAGAGGATTGTGTATTGGATGAAGAAGTGAACAGGCGATACATTAATCAGTATAAGGATTGCCTTTACAATGTCAATCAGCGATAATTACTATTGTTTAGGCTAGACATCAAAGGTAACGGTGATGGTCCCGCTGGACTTCATCTGACAAGTCAGGCATCTTTGTAGGTAATCATCAGAGCCAGCTTAGGCTTTCTGTTTCAGTAAACCTCTGATAGGCAGGGGTCAATGGGTACGAGGAAAAATCTTAAAGATGGCTTCCGAAAACATTTTCCAGAAAATGTAAAACAAAATGATTTCATAGTCAGCAACTGTATTTTGTTGTATAAACTGTAAAAAACGGTGTATGATTATACTGACTGAAAATAGTGACCAAATTATACTACAAATCGTAATGTTGAATTATTTGTTACAGATATAGACGAATGTGCCATCGAGATAGCATCATGTCACAAGAACAGTATCTGCGTGGACACTCCAGGCTGGTACCAGTGTGACTGTGTTGAGGGATTCCACAGCAGCTGGCCTGACAACCGATATGGTAGCCTCTGTATGGGTACGTCCAATGTTGTCCCCTTTCTATTTGGAGATTTAGAATTCTGTTGCATTCTTCTTTGAATTGTTGCATTACACCACATAATCATTTAGTTTTCAAGTGTTTGTTTATAGAGATATATTACAACATACTTAAGATATTACACAGAATATTATGTTTATTCGTCTGATGTATTTATATATATTCCCAGTATGCTTTGGTATAATGTGTAATCGCAAGTATGTATATATCTATATCAGATGTGTATGATATTCTCCTCAGACATCAATGAATGCGCGGGTGAGGGTCACGGTCATACCTGCCACCCAAGTACCAAATGTCACAATCTCGAGGGAAGCTACGAGTGTCACTGTCAACCTGGAATGCCGTGTATCAAACGTAAATATAAGTATCTGACAAGACTTGTCAGCAGTATCGTTTTTAGACATACTTTGTTATGATGGACAGTTAAAATTTTGTGTGGATTATCCATTTATTTATGTGTTTGATGGAAACAATTTTGTATATTTTACAAGTCCTTATCATGATTAAAACCCTTTCAGAATGTCACGACAAAGACAGTTACCATGATGATAACAGTGTTTGGACGCCATCTGATGACAAGTGCATGGAATGTTCGTGCAAGGTATTGAATATCACATAAATATCATATATATATTTATATATATATAGTGATTGCAGTGAGACCTATTTTATCTCGTTATGGATTTGTAATTTATTCTACCTCAAAAATTAATTTGTATTTCGTGTTGCTTTAATCAACCTAATTATTTGTGTATGTATGTATATAACTGTATATCATACATAACACAAAGCTATTAAATTTGTAGCTATTTTTTTTCTTTTAATATGAAATGTAATTTTTGTTCTAACCCGGAAATGATGACTTGTTTCAGTCTGGAGTGACGACATGCCACAAGCGTGAGTGTGACTGTTCTAACCCTAACACCGACTACGATTGTTGCCTTCACTGTGACAAGACCTCGCAATGTATGCATCAGGAGGTGCCTCTCATGTTCGACAATGGCGAGAGATGGATTTACCAATGTCAGACCTGCGAGTGTCTCGTACGTTCCCATTAAGTAGCCATATCTTCATATAACACATATTTCTGTACCATTATATGCTCAGAGGATAGACTGCTTATGTAGGTTTGATGATAATATATCTACCTACTGTCAAAATTACGACATCAAAACACTTTCATTGTTATTTGTCTTGTATCCTCGTTTCGTCTATGGTGAGTGAAAAGATGCGATAAAGTGGGTAATATGGTGGATCTATAAATCACTATAAAACATTTTAACAACTTTTTCGAGCGATTATTCATGAAGCGAAAGTTTTTAGTCTGACAATGATAGGAATGAAGTGAAATAAATACATTTTTTTGTAACGTTGTACGTTAAAACTAAGTTTGGTGCCTACAACACGATATTGTAACTTTTGTACTAAATATTTCAAACTTCTTCCACAAATTATTTAAGTCTACAATTATGGTTGATAACTTTAGATATAATTCGATAAATACAGTCTACTTTTCTTCTTCAGCAGCGCTTTGTGCACTATACATAATTTGTACTATATCTTGACTACTTTCGCTACAGTTTTTACTCTTTTTTTCTACAATACTATCATGGTTTTGTCAATTCATCCACGAACTCAGCAATTAAACTTCAAACATCCGCAACTATAAGAGAACGGCACAAATTTTACGACTACGGTAAATTATTGACAACATTCCTTCAGCAAGGTGATTTAAATAACGACAGTTATCTATTTCATTGTAATCTACATTTACTCGTTTCTGTTTCCCCTAAGATTATTGGTTTTCGTAATGACAAGTACATTAAATGAGTTAAATCGTGAAGAGTTATTTTCATCATTCTGTGCTTTCTATCTTTAGGAGGGCGAGATTGATTGCTGGCCCCTTCAATGTCCAAAAATCACGTGCCATACAACAGTTCTAGAGCCGGGAGATTGTTGTCCACGTTGTGTAGAGGATAACCCATGTGTCAGTCAGGCATACGTCACAGGAGGGGCAGACAACTCTGCTACTACATGCCTGTACAAGGGGCATGCGTACACCCATGGGGATACCTGGGTACTCGGATCAAAGCCATGTAGCACGTGTGAATGTAGGGTAAGTGTCTGAATCAAGAAAAAGACCTACGAGTATATTTCACAAATGAGGATCTATATTATAAATATTGCTGAGATGATGAACATTAATTTCGTAAATATGTTTTTGTTTCAGGTCGGTCATATTTGTTGTCTGTACAACGATCATAATTGTACGTCGATACTGGACTGAAAAGAGAAGAGAGTCACCGCCATCATTTTGATGCATTCATGTGTATTTCTGCACGAACTGACATCAGAAATCGCGAATAAAAAAAACTGCTTTAAATTTAAAAAATGTTAATTAAAGTCGCTTTAAAAGCTGCCAGTGTTGTGGAAATATTCCTCCGGAGGTTTTGCTTCTATGAGTGGGATTGACAGAGCGTAAGGTACAGAACGACCCCATATGTACAGACCAATGGTCCGAAGAACACGTCGGAATTTAACATAGCTTTTATATTGCAGTTGCCCGTCATTTCACATGCAATGTTTATGCCTGAAGGGAGGCAACTACGGATTCTAAGAGCAAATGATTGAAATAATCATTGTGGTTACTGTGATTTTTAAAAAAATTGTATATGATCTGAACTGGTAGAAATTGCCATATTCACTCCGAACATTGATTAATAACACTTGTTCACATGTTAAGCATGGTAAGCTCCTTAAACTGTCACATATTTACCGTTTAATTTACCATTCGTTGGTATCATTTAGATGTTGATACAGTCCTTAGTATGTATGTGACAGCCCTGTTCCTCATATGTTTGACGTTGTGTTGAGTGTTGTACACAAGTGACAAAAATTTACCCTTAACTACGTTTGTATAGCAATGCTGCTTAATAAAAGAAAGGGAGAGACAAAAAAAAACACACAGAAAAAAACAAAAACATACACACAATGAAGAAATATGGAGGACATTCTCTTTGGACTGTGAAGTAATCTAAACAAGAACTTTGTATTATTGAAAACACTATCAGAGTAACACACAATAAAGCTTGTTACTACAATGTCAGTGATATTATGTCTCGCGCAAGAGTTCTATAGTGAATGTGCATAATACTTCTATATTTGTATGGTTGACATATTTAGCCATTTTAGATGTGTGTTTAGTGTAATCGTTGTATTCGTGATATGTTGATTTTGATTGACAGGAGTATGTGCTTACTTTGGCTGAATATGTAACAGATTGGTGTTGTTTTTGTTGACATTGATATCAGAACCAACACAATTTAAGTGTGTACTTATGTATGTCACATTGCCATCAAGCGTTTGTTCTCTTATGTATTAATTAGTTGTTATAACTGCTTCGTATCCTCACTAAGTGTTGTGACTTGAATGCCGAGAGTAGACATCACCTATATTGATATAACGGCCTGTTATTTGGTAATAATTATTATTCCATATCCACATTGAAATATGTTAAATGTAATTGATCTGATATTGAACTGCACACAAGCAGTGCTATGGTTCATAGCGACAGTTTTCATATATATGGCTTAGCCATATATCTAACGTTTCCTCTGTAGTATATAGTGTTGTCACATGTTATGTCTGCTCTGCTCACATCAATACGCAGATAAAAGTAGGGGAGATGTTTGCACAGTTCAGGATATATATATATATTAGCTACTGAAATTAAGGTATACATTAACGATTTGTAAATAATCGTTCAGTATACACAATGATCAACCACGAAATCAATGGTTATATTTTAATGTATTGATATAAAATACTTTTACATGGTAGCAATATAATGCAACGTTATCTAAAAGACACTTTAAACATCAAACTTATCTATATGTCATTAGATAATTTGATAAATGTTCATCGTTTAAAACGGTATACGTAGGTAAATGCATTATGGGCTTAAATTCGCCGATATCATAAAATGCAAAGCAACGTATCCAGAACAAAAAACATTTCACTGTACTCAATTCGAGAACCTTTTTTGTGAATATGATATGCAGATTGTGTTATTATACTGTAATTTGATACAAGATTCATTTTTGTGATTATTGAATATATATTGTGTTGTGATTCAGTTTAATTCGCTAGCCACCATTGGTTACAGGATAGTATGATATCACATTTGTTGCTATTTACATCTATATTTAATGATATTTACAGAAATGCCTCTCGATATTACAGGGTACATGATTATTGTTTTATATATATATTTACGTGTCTTACTCTTTATGTAGAATACATGCTATCGACAAATACACTGGAGATGTCTACGCGAATATTCAAATTACTTGCATGTTTAAACATGCCAATGACTTCTGGTTGTTGTTTGACAGCATAAAGCTGTCACCAGATTCATATTAAGTATTACATTATTAATTGTAAAGACTTGTACTATGGTAAAACACAGTTACCGAATAGTGTTATCATTAACTGACCTTTTGTATTGTCATTTACGGTTCTACTTGTCAAGACTCATATTCTGGCTGTATGCCACAGAGGTATGACATCAGAATGAGACAGAATGCCAACTTGATTTTAAATATCCTATCAGGTATTTTGAACATTAAATAGTTTCTGCTTTATATACATATTGTATCTGCTGACTTGTCGAAGGTGAATCAGCGCTTGTCATACCTGCGTTGTATTCGAGTAGGTATGCTATATTATCACAATCCATAAGGAACTTCCATCTACATGTACATTAAGCCGTCTATAAATGCTTTGCTCGTCGTGATTGCGAACTGTGACTTGATAAAATCTTGCCGTTCTTATAAAATCTACACATATCGCATCGCCCACGCCGGAAGTACTGGCACGCTCAGTATTTAGCATATCAAAGATCGCTACCTGTGCCTATGATGAAATAGGGTTTTTAAAGATGATTTTTAATTTTGTGTTCATCTTTCACTTGTAATTCAATGCAATCATACAGTATATGCAATATCATTTCAAAATAAAAGATTTGGTACATACTTGTGATGGTAATAGGTTGTACATTTGTACATCGTTGTATTTTGACTATGACAATATGGTCCATTGGAAATGTAGTGTGTTGCAAGTTCATATTTTTCATAATATTGTTACAAGTTGTGAATTTGGCACTGTTGTATTTTTCACAATATTAGACGCTATTTATGTAGTATATTGTAGTAATTCCGTTACCATTTGCAGTATTGTACTATTATTGTGGTTTTTGTACTAGTTAAAATGATGCAATTTATTATATATGTATTTAGTGTTATTAAAGGGATGATGACACATATAGTCGTGTTTATCTGATGTAAATTAGTTTTATCCCTTTTTAATATTTATTGCAATCCATATACTCGTATTTATTCTATATATTCTTTACTTATGAATATATCATGTTTAATCCAGTAATAGTATATACAGTGATGTTCTGTTCAATGTTCTGTGTATAGCCTCTCTTATATAATTAGTATTACACGTATAACACCTCGTCTGTTTAGTACATATATAGGGTCATCCTGTCATTATTACTGTATTTATAATGTAATTACTTTTGTCTTTTCGACCGATTGCCGAAGGTACCTTTATGCTATATATTTAACATACTTTTTGTAGAAATATATGAATTGTCATGAATATCTATCGGGTGAAATCACTTGTCGTTTTTCCAATTCTTTTTTAGATTTTTCTACCAACTTTGATATACACCCATTCAAACGGCATTGTCTCGCATAACACTTCTTTGTCTTATATAAGTAATTCCGTTTGTAATCGACTGTTGAACAGGTGAACTTATGTTATCTGTAACTTAGAAATTGCTATTACCTTTCGTCGACAACATATCCCACACTATTAATTGTACTTTCTAATGGAGTCTGCCTGTTATATCTAGATTAAAACCAAAGTCTGTTCTAGTGTTACAGCTGACTCAATACTTCAAATTTTAGTTTGATGCCTCAAATGACTCAATACTCCATAGTTTTGTTTAGTATTACAGCTGACTCAAAACTCCAAAAACTGTTATTATGTTACAACTGACTCAATACTCAAATGTCTGTTCTTATGTTACAACTGATTCAATACTCCAAAATCTGTTCTAATGTTACTCTAAATTTTTGTTTGATTCCTCAAATGACTCAATACTCCATAGTTTTGTTTAGTATTACAGCTGACTCAATACTCCAAATCTGTTCTTATGTTACAGCTGACTCAATACTCCAAATTTTAGTTTGATTCCTCAAATGACTCAATGCTCTAAAGTTTTGTTCAGTTTTACAGCTGACTCAATACTCCAAAGTTTGGTTTTACGTCACAACTGACTAAGAATCCAAAGTCAGTATTGACTGAGTCTACAATCCTTTCCAACTCAAATGATATCGAGATAATGCCATTTGAGAGCACGAGGGTTAACACTTGTTAAGCTTAATAGCATGATAAAGATTGCTGGCAATAGGAAAAATGCCAAAAAACTGTCTTTAAAGTGTGATCACAATAGAACTGTCGTTACAGTGTGATCACAATAGAACTATCGTTACAGTGTGATCACAATAAAACTGTCGTTACAGTGTGATCACAATAGAACTGTCGTTACAGTGTGATCACAATACAACTGTCGTTACATTGTGATCACAATAGTACTGTCGTTACAGTGTGATCACAATAAAACTGTCGTTACAGTGTGATCACAATAGAACTGTCGTTCCAGAATGATCACAATAAAACTGTCGTTACATTGTGATCACAATAAAACTGTCGTTACATTGTGATCACAATAGAACTGTCGTTACAGTGTGATCACAATAGAACTGTCGTTACATTGTGATCACAATAGAACTGTCGTTACAGTGTGATCACAATAGAACTGTCGTTCCAGAATGATCACAATAAAACTGTCGTTACAGTGTGATCACAATAAAACTGTCGTTCCAGAGTGATCACAATAAAATTGTCGTTACAGTGTGATCACAATAAAATTGTCGTTCCAGAGTGATCACAATAGAACTGTCGTTACATTGTGATCATAATAGAACTGTCGTTCCAGAATGATCACAATAAAACTGTCGTTCCAGAATGATCACAATAAAACTGTCGTTACAGTGTGATCACAATAGAACTGTCGTTACAGTGTGATCACAATAAAACTGTCGTTTCAGAGTGATCACAATAAAACTGTCGTTACTTTGTGATCACAATAGAACTGTCGTTACAGTGTGATCACAATAGAACTGTCGTTACAGTGTGATCACAATAGAACTGTCGTTACAGTGTGATCAC